ATCACACATCACATTTTCATATTGGTAAAATCCCATTGATAATGATAGTATGTAGTGCTGTCACATTAATTGAAAAAAACAAACCTTAATAGTAAATATTTGTATTTTATTTTAAAAAAATGATGCAATATTTAGCACGTACGTACTCCCTCAACTCTGTTTAAGTAGCCATTAATTTAATTTTAAAATTAGAATTTATAATATTCAAATGAAGTTTTGTGTGGACTAAATTGATATTGTTGATGAGTGAAGCCTCTGCAAAACAGAATTGTTAAATGGGCTTTGAAAGCTAATATACAGAAAAAGGCCGACAGGCCCGTTGAAACTCTATGTATGGAAAAGTCATCCAGAATATTATACCTCAATAATTCCTTTTGCAATCCCATGATTATGTAAAATATAAAAAATGTATTTGATATCAATCTTTCTCTTTTAAGTTGTACCTTTATTCAAATATCAGTTAAAAATTTGTTAACGATTTATGTTTTAAATGGTATAATATACTATGAATCCAAAAATTTCATTAAAAAAATACACTTTATTTATATTTATGTATTTTATATTATTGAATCCGTGTTTAGAAAATACTATTCAAATATTCTTGATATACTTATTTCCATGTTATATTTTTAAAAAATATAATCCAAAATATGTTCTAAAAATTAAAACTCATTATATTTTTAAAAAATTTTCTAGAACAAATTTTTTGAAATATATTTTTGAAAAATATAATTCAAAAATATATTTTGAAATTCATTTTTGGAACATGGATAATATTATCATTTAAAATAAATATGGATGCAGAAAACAAATATAGGGGCGCAAGAAGCATAAGCCCTTCTTTTTTTCAAAAAATGACACAAACTCACTCACTTTGGACCTGTATACTCTTTCTTGAAATGCAGCCCAATCAAGTATCACTTTTATTTAGGTTTAATTATAATTACAATGTAATTACAGTTCTTCCTGTTTTTCCTGTTTTAAATCATTATAATTAAGTTGTTTCTTCACTCTAATTGTTTTTTTTTTTACTTTAATAAGTAAATAAGAAATAAAAACTGAAATGTTCAGATTAATTAACAAAATTTTGTACATGATAAACTTTAATTTTATAGAAAAAAAATTACGCTCCATTATATATGTATATTTTGATATTATGTTATAATTTGATAAAGATATAGAATTTCCACTTAATTGTATATTATAATTTGGTAGAGGTATGAAGTCTTCTATGTACTTGTTAAATTAGGGTGCCAACAAATTGATTGGGGAGAAAATGTTAACTTCTGATAAAAAATAAAAAATTAAACTTCCCTCGTTTCTCTTGTTTTATCCACAGTCATGTAACACCTGAGTGTTATTTTAGCGTCCATCAATCCCTCAAATTTGTGGCAAATTGATTAAAGTGATTACAGTGGCGCAATTTGAACAAAATAAAATGGATAAATTTTTAAAAAATTTGAATTTGGGTAAGTGACGTAACACTCCATCATAAAGAAGGTGCATGGAAAGACGAATTTAGTCTAAGTTGAGCACGAATCTGCAATCTTTTTTAAGCAATAATTTTTTCAAAGTTATATTTCAATTAATAATTTTTATAATTTCTTTTAAACTTTTAGTTTAATTTCTTTTATAATAAAGACTTTGGTTAAAATTTTGTATACTGAAATTAATCATTGACAATTTTAGTTTATATATTTTTAAATTATATTTATATTTTAAAATTTTATTTAATATTTAAAAAATTAATAAAATAATTAAATAATTATTATTCAAAATATATGACCAATCTGTTATTAAATATAAATTCAACTGAGATGTAATATATTGTCTAAAAAAAAAATCATATGAAAACGTCGTTTGTCTCTCTTCAATTATTATAAAAGTTAATCTCTCCTTTAACTATTAAAAAACAAGATGAAAGATATTTCAATTTCCATCTTATGAAATTATAGTCAACAAAATAGTACAATATTTATCAAAATAAGTGTTTATTCGAAAACAAAAATCAAGACACACTATTAAAAGATGGAACAAGTTTATGTTATTAATTTTATAAATTGTATTTTTCTACTTATTTAAATTTTTAATATATGTTTACTTTTGTTTAATGTATAAATTTTTTATTTAACATATTAATATATTTTTTTCAACAATTTAATATATTTAAAAGTTATTTAATATTACTTTTTATTTTAATAAATATTAAAATCAAACTTTTACTAAATAAAAAATTAATTTAAAATATATAAACTAAAATCATTAATCAATCAACAAAATTTAATGAAGATATTAATATTAAAAAAAATCATCTAAAAACGTCACCTAAATAACAACTCCAACTCCAATACGTCTTTAAATTTTGAAGAGCACCAGAAGTCGTATTTAAATGTAGAACTTACCCATAACTAATTTTTTTTTTTAAATTACCATTTTGAAAATAATAAAAACAAATTGAACCGACTTGAAAACCTAGCCCAAATTTGTAGCTTTTATTGTTATTTTTCTATTAAATAGTAATACTAATAATTGTTTACAATAAGAAAGATGGTTGTTAGTTTCTTCAAGAAACTTATCATAACAGAAAAATCTATTAAAGGATATTTATAATTAATTTCAAATTAATTAAAATACGCAGAGAAGAGTGAGTAGCTGCACATTAGGTGATCTCAAACTTACATTGCATTTTACATTAGAGAAATGTTTCATCTACAACTAATTACACTAATATAATAATATTATTTAATACTATATTACTTTTTTAGGTCTTCTTATGGTTCTCAAAATATAACCCCTCTTTCCATTCTGTTTCTTATTTATACTCTATGCTAATTTAATACTTTTATTATGTATTTAGTTCAATTTTAAAGTTTTTATAAGGATTAAAGAGTTCTATTTTAAAAGTTAATGTTATACATATATTTTCATAATTTATAATTAATTGATAGAAATTAAATACTATAAACTTTTTTTTTATTTTAGTTGAGTGTGGTATGTGTCAAAATTTATAGCAAGCATACCCAACCATGACTTTTCTTATATTTGATATCCAAATAAAAATAAAGTTATTTCAAAATCATTTTGAGTCCCAATCAATTATATAAATTAAGTTGATGAAAAATCAAATTATAGCACTTAACATTAATTTTCAGTCAACTAAACTGTCTTGCACTTGTGTCCACCTTGAGCTCCACAAACCACTTGTTGCATTCTTTGAATGAAAATCTTAAAACTTTGTGCCTTGGCAAAAGGAGTTGCTCCTAATTTCAACTCTTTGACCTATGGGAAATATTTGAATATAGATCTCAGTTTCAAATCAAAATATTTTTTTCATGCGATTTTCTATGTAGGATGAGAATTGTGATGTTTTTTGAAATCGACTTATGAGTTCTAAGCTAAGCAACTACACCATTAAATTAAACTTCACACTAATAGTTTTGGTAGAGAGTTTTAACCTAAATTGATGCAGGTTTGAGCTTTAACAAGAAGGTTTGAGCTTGAACAAGAAGACACAGGAAGGTGAAACTAACTTGTTCCATATTCTTGCAATTGTTGATTAGTATGGCACATAGGTAGGTACATATGCATCTTTTTACATTTCTAACTTTCAATCCATTGTGATTAACCATATGCCATTTCTTTGGCTCATCCCATCCACCTATATTACCATCGCCATTCACAGAGTAACTCCCCAGACTTGGAAAATATGTACTCTTAGCTTCAAAACTCACAAGACGGCTACTGATGTTAAACCATCTACCAACAAATTTGTGACTGTTTAAAAACTTTTTGAAAGTTTCACACCACCCATTTCTATTCTGTGCAAGTGTTACTTACCAAGGTTAAGAGACACTTACCAAGGTTAAGAGACGAACCAAAACAAAACTAAAAGGGTGTACAAGAAGTAAAATGTCCAGTATACAAGGTCCAAACAATAAAATGATGAAAGGGATAAAGAAGAAATGAGAAACGAAGAGAAGATTGATACTCGAATTTCATATCCGGGGTAACAAAGTGAGAATTGAGAAGTCTCAATTACTCAACCAATAGCACCAGACCGACAAGGATACAAAAGGAACCTAACCAAAAGTGTCACAGCACAACAAGATTATGTCCCTTCTTTCATTTGTGTGCAAAGTGACAGGTAAACTACCGTAAATTCTTTGTTCCAGTTCTATGCTTAGATAAATTCTTTATCAATAAAAATAATATTTTAATAAAGGTCTCATAATAACCATGGATTTTTTTCTTAAAAGTTGATGATAGTTCCTCATAAAGATACTCTAACCGAACCATATAAAAATGTTACTTTTATCAACAAGGAACTCATGGTGGAGTTGCTTTAATGGTGGTTATCAGGGATGAGAATCGATTCTAACAGAAAATAGGTAGCAGGTAAAGTATACTGAGACAGGAAAGAACGATGTTTGTTTTAAGAAAATGGCAATGCATACAAGAGGAGGTAAATCCAAGCATTGAAAAGGGAAGAAAGAAGAACAAAAAGAAATATTGGCTGTCTCCAGAACAAGCACATAGATTAACTATTAAAGAGAGATATTTGCGACTTAGGTTCCGAAACAATCATACATAGAAAAACAGTATCTATTAGCAGCAGTCTCAACGAAAATCATGCAAAGAGAGACATCATTCATTCCGTTGGTTCGAACAAACCGCACTCACTATCACTATCGGCGAGTGAGAGGGTTAAAAAAAGAAGCACAGCACAGCAAACAGGGCATGTTATGGTAAGTAAAAAGAAAACATTGTAATGTATGGCTGAAAATGGAATATTGAAATTTGATTTGTATGAAAATGAAAATAAAGCAGGAGAGCAGACAGGGGTAGGTAGGCAAGTGGTGGGGGTCGATCCATCCATCCAAGTGGTTCATCTATCCATCCATCCATTATCCAGAATATCCAGCAGGCAGGCATGTTGCATTGATGATGAGTTGTAATAAATAAAAAATTACAGGAAAAGGTAAGAAGAAGAAGTAAGTTTACTAGGAGGGAAGAGGCCTTGGAGGAGGAGGAGGAAGGAGCTGGTGGAGATTGGGAGGAAGCTGAGTGTGGTTGGAGTGAGGAGGTGCGATGAAGGGGTGTTCCAGCAACCTTGAGGCAGACCAGCGCCGTGAGGGGTCGCGCTGCAAGCATCGGGATATGAAATCCCTGAACTGGGGGGAAGCAGAAGGAGGAGCCTCCGGTGGCTGAGACATACAAATCGCACACATCAGGCTGGCCCAATCGCCCTGTCTACCGACGGCAAAGGGAAACCTGCCCATGTAGAACTCCAAAATGCTAACACCAAAGCTCCATATGTCCCCGGCGTACGCGTCGTACTGACCGTCGTTTATGTCCGTGTTGATCCTTTCCGGACTCATGTACGCGATCGTCCCCACCGACGAATTGCACGGATCCATCGTCTGGTTCAGAATCCGACCCACCCCGAAGTCCGCGATCTTCACCTGCTTCCGCGAGTTTATCAGCAGATTCGACGGCTTGATGTCCCTGTGCACGATGTGTCGCCGGTGCAGGTACGCCAGCCCCCGCAGAATCTGCCGCGACAGATCTGCCAGCTGCTGCTCCTGCGGGATCTGTTTCCCCTCCAGAGACCCCCCATCCATGAACTCCAGCAGCACCTGGATTTCGCTGTTCTGATCGTACATCTCGTGACACTTCACCACGTTTGGATCGTCCACGTCGCGCAGGATCTGGATTTCCCGGTGGATCTGCCGCCGTACCGACTCCTCGTGGTGCCCGTATATGACCTTGAGCGCATACACGCGCCCGCTCGTCCGGTGGACGACCTTGTACACCGTCCCCCCGCTCCCACTCCCGATGCGGTTGAGCCTCTCAAGCTCCGCGAACGGGATCACCTGCTGCTGCTGCTGGGTGGCTCCGGCGCTGGCCGTAGCCGTGGCCGTGGATGGGGGCAGAGGAAGCGGTACCGCCAAATTGGTGTCACGCTGCGGCAGCGGCAGCGTGAGGTCTTTGCGGCGGCGCTGGGGACGGTTGTCCTTGTTGTTAGGAGGCGCCGGAGCGGAGGCGGAGGGGGAGGCGGAAGGCGGTGGGAGTTGCATCGGCCTCATCTCATGTCTCGAATCCAGTATGAAAAATTGAATTTATATTTATATTTGTATTATAAAATATATTTTAATATTAATAAGAAAGGAAAGGGAGGGGCAGATGGAGGTTCATATAATGTCCATCATGCATGGATGGATGGATGGATGGTAACCCCAAGGCAAGTGCTCCGAAGGTTCCAGGAAGTGTGCGATGTACGAGAATGCAAAGCTCTTTTCAATCACCATTTATTTTCTTTTCTTTTTTTCTCCCCTTCTTCTTTGCACACTACCTTCAAAAAATGGATTTTTTATTTTTTATTTTCTTTTCACCAATCTTTTTACTCTCTTGATAGAAAATTGGAAAAGTAATTTGGTTTGAGAGACTTTGAGAGGTTGGTAATGAAAAGAGGTCTAGGGTCCACGCGCCTCCAGCGTCCGTGGACCAATTACGTTCCAATATGCGTAGAGTAGGGTGCACCGTACAAGTACATGATCACACCACACTCGTACACTAATTCTCCTTTTCTTTTCTTCTTATTTCCTACAAATCTACTTTCTACGCACATGATTATGAATATTCTCCCTGCTTATCTCACTACGGTTCCAACCCTATTTTTCCCACTTTTCCAATTCTTCTTTGTTTAATCCATATACACAATATCTATACTATTTTTTGTCTTTATGTTACTTTCTTTCGTTTCTCTTTCTTTCTTTTCATCTTTCCCCAACTTGTAATGTAGTTTTTATATAAATATTTAATAATATTATTTCTTAGTGCTTATTAAATGTATGGCTTTTCATATACTACTTATATATCTATTAAATATAATATGTAATTAATATTATATAATATTAATATGGAATTTATATAAACACCAAAAAATGTTAATTTTTATTACATTTATTAAATATATCATATAATTAATAATACACAATATGTATTTAATACATTATATAGTGTTGATGTTTGTATTTAAGTAATATTTAACGCTGAATTTGTGTCTTCTAAAAAGTTTCATATAATAATATAAAATATTTATTAAAAGATCTTCATTATCATGCATAATATTTTCGAGATGAAATCCGTAGTAAAAATAATATAACATCTTTACTGAAGGAAAAAAATAAATATAATGAATAATGAATATTTTTTATTTTCTATTTAACTAGTTATAGTTTTTTTACTAGTTATGTATAAGGGCAGGCTTAACGCTTGTTTTCATCCAAAATAGTTATGTATTATTATGAATTGAATAAAGTGAAGGATGGTGTTGTGAACATGAGTTATTTTTCACCAAAATATTATGTGTTTGTCCTTAAGCAGAAGAAGGATGATTTCATCTTGATTTCGTGTCACCTTCGTCCCAATGGGATATGCATTAGATTGCCCCTCTAAGAAACACAAAGCAAAAGTAAATTAAAATTATATTGACTTGGTTTAATTCAGCTTCAAACTCATTGTCAACCCAACCTAAAATTGAATAAGTCAATTTCAAACTCTTTCGCCCCATCTTCCTTCTTTAGATATGCTTTGCAAATATTAATGGGACTTTTTTTCTCTTTTCCCCTTTCCCTGCGTAACTTACAAATGTAATCAAACCTTACTCAAATTCTTCTCTCTGTCTCCCTCACGTCTCTCTCATATTTTCTTCACCCTTGTCTAGAGTTTCATATTATATTCTGGAGATTAACATAATTTTTGTGATGGTATTATGACATATTTTAGAATGTTAAACCAAAGTATGAATTAATTTAGAAAGATTATTTATATTTGGATGTTGTTTTCAGGCTTCCTAAACTAGTCATGAAGAGGAAAATAGAGGGTAATAAAAGAAAAGAAAAATAAGCACAAACGGATGGTTTTATGACAGTGTAGAAGAGAGTGTAGTATGAAGATGCATTTATAAGATTGGTCAATTGGTTGCATTAAAATGAAGAAAAGAAAAAATTGTGAACCTTACAAAAGAAGGGTTTTAAGTTCTTCCCTCCCTCTTACTCTTGCCAAGAAGAAGGAAGAAAAACTCCTACTTAAAGAACACAACTCTTTTTCAAATGAGGTTACAATGTTATACCAGAAACATGGAGCCACCAATAACCATTGTGCACTTAGAGTGTGTGGCCTTGTTCATATTGTGCACAACAGTGTTTGTTTCCGCTACTTCTCAGCAGAAAGGTGAGTTGTCGTTCTTCTCTTTCTAGTTAAATTGCTTTGCTCTGTTCAGAACGAAGATATATATATATATATATATGATGTGGAAGTGATAATGTCAATGTCGTGTGATCAGAGGCGAGTTACCTGAAAATGGTGGTGAACGCGAGCAAGTTGCCAGTGGAAGATTACTACGACTACATCGTCGTGGGTGGTGGCACTGCGGGGTGCCCACTGGCGGCGACACTCTCACAGTCGTTTAGGGTGCTTCTGCTGGAACGAGGGGGCGATGGGCGGGGGAACCCCAACCTGATGAACCAAGAAGGGTTCTTGAGCAACCTCTTGAACACTGACAATGAGGACTCTGCCACCCAGGCTTTCATTTCCGAGGAGGGAGTCCCCAACGCCCGTGGCCGAGTTCTTGGGGGCAGCAGCGCCATCAACGCCGGCTTCTACAGCCGAGCCCACCGCGATTTCTTCGGGAATTCGGGCTTGCACTGGGACCTGACGCTGGTGAACCACTCGTATCAATGGGTGGAGAAGGAAATCGTCTTCAAGCCCAACCTCAAGACGTGGCAATCGGCGGTTCGCGATGGCTTGCTGGAAGCAGGGGTCACTCCCTACAACGGCTATACTCTCGACCACGCCAAGGGAACCAAGATTGGGGGCTCCACCTTCGACAGCTCCGGCAGACGACACACCTCTGCGAATCTTCTCAGACACGCTCGTCCATCCAACATCAAGGTTGCTGTTTACGCCACCGTGGAGAGGCTGCTTCTCTCTGGTTCCAGCGCCATCGGAGTCCTCTACCGCGACCGGAGAGGGATCCACCACCACGCATTCTTGCTGGAACACGGAGAGGTGATTCTGTCGGCCGGTGCCATTGGAAGCCCTCAGCTTCTTCTTCTGAGCGGAATCGGTCCCAGGCCTTATCTCTCTTCCTGGGGAATCCCCGTCGCTCACCACCTTCCATACGTAGGACATTTCCTCTACGATAATCCCAGGAACGGAATCACCATTCTCCCCTCCCTTCCACTCGACCATTCTCTCATCCAAGTCGTCGGGATTACCGACTCCGGCGCTTACATCGAGGCCGCATCTAACGTCGTTCCTTTCAACTCCCCTCCCCACACCGCCTTCGTCCGCTCCCCCCTCTACCTCACCGTCGCCACCCTCATTTCCAAGATCTCCGGCCCTCTCTCGGCCGGCTTTCTCAGACTCGCTTCCACCAACGTCGACGCCAATCCCATTGTGAGGTTCAATTACTTCAACAACCCCCTTGACCTGGAGCGCTGCGTCAACGGGAGCAGGAAGATAGGGCAGATCCTCGGGAGCAGGGCCTTGAAGGACTTCAAGTTCACTAACTGGTTGGGGGAGCCAGACTTCAGGTTTATTGGCCCCGCTTTGCCCCTTCACCAAACGGACTACTCTCGCATGGCCGATTTCTGCCGCCGGACTGTCTCCACCATTTGGCACTACCACGGCGGCTGCGTCGTTGGCAGGGTCGTTGATCCCCATCTCAAGGTCATCGGAATCTCTTCCCTTCGTATTGTTGATGGATCCGTCTTTAGCGTATCGCCTGGAACCAATCCTCAGGCCACCCTCATGATGCTCGGACGGTACGCATATTCTTTTGTTTCACCATTTCACTTCCTTCCTTTTATCCACAATCCAATCATATACTAATTATCATCCTATTCTGCCAGGTATTTTGGGTTCAAGATTCTCAGAGAAAGGGACGCATACAAATGATTCTTCATCCCCACTTTTCTTCTTAGACTATATCCATTCTTATAGCCTAAGCTAACACAATTTAGAAAGCATGTAGCACTGCTTCCGAATACTGTAACACACAATCTGTTTCATATTTGGAACATCTACAGTGAACAATTTTTCCCCCTTATACATATACTACAATGCACTTGCTTCAAATGCCAACTTCAACTAAATCATCCATTTACTAATAATATTGAAGATGCTCATCAATTCATAAGAGTGACCAGCGGAGGGATAGAAATGTAAACGGGCGCTGATGCCTCACGTTTATTAATGATAAAATTTTGAAGATTACTTGGACCGATTGTTACTATACATTAATATTGGAAAGGAAAATCTAAAAGTCATGATTTCATGAGTTTGAGTTATTGTAACTCCCATTATTACTCTAGACAATGCCCTTAAAGGCCTATGGAGTTGATATTTATACTTTAAGGGTTGTAATGATTCAAACAAAACCTTCCAACGCTCACCTGAAGGAGTTGAAAGGAGAGGTTTCTCGTCTGCTGAGGTGTATGGTTATCGGACAGCTGATTTACGTTACAAATTGTTGGACGGAACACTTTGAAATTAGAAGAATAAAGCTTTTAGTGTTTGGATTCATATCTTAAAAAGTAAAAAAAATATCTACATACACAGAATCTGATGTTTACTTCAACGTTAGGAAATTATTTTCATATAACTCTTGTGACAAACTCAGCTAGTCAGCAACACTTACTCAACTAATAACATAGCAATACATAAACAAGGACCACTTCAGAGGAGAGAACCCATATACAGATTTTTCACAATTTAGTCAACTTCTTCAATCTTAGGCCCAGCACCAGTTGATGATTTTCCATAGCCACCACCATTAGGCATGTCATCTGCACCACCCATTGGCACATCTCCAGCACTCCCTTGATACATCTTTGAGATAATTGGGTTGCACAATCCCTCCAAGTCCTTTAATTTGTCCTCAAATTCCTCCACTTCAGCCAGTTGGTTCCTGTCAAGCCATTCAATCGTCTCATCAACAGCCTTCTCGATCTTCTGCTTATCAGCAGGGTTCAGTTTTCCTGCAAACTTCTCATCCTTCACAGTATTCCTCATGTTGTAAGCATAATTCTCCAACGAGTTCTTCGCCTCCACTTTCTTCTTCACATCCTCATCCTCTGCCTTGTATTTCTCAGCCTCGTGCACCATTCTCTCAATCTCCTCTTTGCTCAGCCTTCCCTTATCATTCGTGATAGTGATCTTGTTCTTCACCCCTGCGGTCTTGTCCTCAGCCGACACATTCAAAATCCCATTTGCGTCAATGTCAAAACACACATTGATTTGAGGAACTCCTCTTGGTGCTGGAGGGATGCCAGCGAGTTCAAACTTTCCCAACAGGTTGTTGTCTTTGGTCCTCGCCCTCTCACCTTCATACACTTGTATAAGCACTCCTGGCTGGTTGTCGGCGTAAGTGGAGAAAATTTGCTCCTTCTTGGTGGGAATTGTTGTGTTCCTCGGAATCAACACTGTCATCACACCCCCTGCAGTTTCAATGCCGAGGCTAAGAGGAGTAACATCAAGCAGAAGCAAGTCCTGAACCTTCTCGTTCCCTTCGCCGCTCAAAATAGCAGCCTGCACTGCAGCACCGTACGCCACAGCCTCATCGGGGTTAATGCTCTTGCAAAGCTCTTTCCCATTAAAGAAATCCTGCAACAGCTGTTGCACTTTCGGAATCCTGGTGGACCCACCAACAAGGACAACGTCGTGAACGTGACTCTTGTCGATCTTGGAGTCCCTCAAACACTTCTCAACAGGTTCCATGCACTTGCGGAACAAGTCCATGTTGAGTTCCTCAAATCTGGCTCTGGTGATGGTGGAATAGAAGTCAATACCTTCGTAGAGGGAGTCAATCTCGATAGTCGTTTGGGTAGTGGATGAGAGAGTCCTCTTAGCTCTCTCACATGCAGTCCTTAATCTCCTAAGAGCTCTCGCACTGGTGCTCATATCCTTCTTGTGTTTCCTCTTGAACTCAGACACAAAGTGGTTCACAAGCCTGTATAATATTCAGAAAACAGCGTGAGTCCCATGTTCCACTCTCATAGTTAAATTCAATACAAACAGAATCGAATTGAAAAAATGACTAATCTGAACTTAACTGTTATTTGTCTGGATTATTTTTTAACCAGGTAAGAAACACACTATCTGTGTATTTTGTATATTGATACAGAGAAGAAAGATCGAAGAAAGCAAGAAAGCTTTAAAAGAAAGATTAAAAATTCAATTCTATCTAAAAGAAACATTTCAAAAGTTAAATCTTTAAAACAGTTGAGGTAGGTTGGATTAATTTTAAAATAGTGTATGTAAATGGTGGCGTACCTGTTGTCAAAATCTTCACCTCCCAAATGAGTGTCCCCAGCAGTGGCCTTGACTTCGAAAATACCTTCCTCAATGGTGAGGAGCGACACATCGAATGTTCCACCCCCAAGGTCGAAAATAAGCACATTCTTTTCGCCACTCCTCGAACCCTTCTTGTCTAATCCATAGGCAATGGCAGCAGCGGTTGGCTCGTTGATGATTCTCATTACATTAAGCCCCGCAATGGCACCAGCGTCCTTCGTCGCTTGTCTCTGAGAGTCGTTGAAGTAGGCAGGGACAGTGATCACCGCGTTCTTCACGCTCTGTCCAAGGTAAGCCTCCGCGATCTCCTTCATCTTCGTCAACACCATAGACGAAATCTCCTCCGCCGCGAACTGTTTCTCTTCGCCTTTGTAGCTGACCACGATCATGGGCTTCTCGGCGGGACCGGGGACAACCTTAAAGGGCCAGTGCTTCATGTCTGCCTGCACGGAAGGGTCCGAGAATCGGCGCCCGATGAGACGCTTGGCGTCGAACACGGTGTTTTGGGGGTTCATGGCAACCTGGTTCTTAGCAGCATCTCCGATGAGACGCTCGGTGTCGGTGAATGCCACATAGGATGGTGTGGTTCTGTTGCCCTGGTCGTTGGCTATGATCTCGACGCGGTCGTTTTGCCAGACGCCCACGCAACTGTAGGTGGTACCAAGGTCGATGCCAATGCCCTTCCCTTCTGCCTTGGAAGCCATAGAGAGAATGCAAGTTGATGGGTTATCTTATCTGCTACGCTGTGCACAACAAAGTAATGAATTTGTGAGAGTAGTTAATGATCGTTGTTCTGTGTTACATTGCAATGCAGAGGAATGCGGAGAAGGAGACATATAAAGAGAGCAGGGGAAGGATGAAGAAACGTCGAGACATTAGCAGAAGTGGAAGAGGGCGTTGTCTTCTGTTTCACGAACCAGACTCTTCTGGAGAACACAAGACCCTTCCAAGCTCTCTCCCGTTCCTTCTCTTACAAATTCAAAACTCTTTTCTTTTTTTTTATCATTTAATTATTTTTTATAACAATTACTTTTTAAAATAATTATTGTATATTTAATTATTTATTAATTTGATTGAAATAGTAATTGTAGTTAATTGAGAAAAAATCAAAAGAAAGTTATTAATGTTTAAGTGAAAATGTAATATTACATTTTTCACAAAAATTTAAATAGATAATAATAATAAACTTTTAAAATTAATAATTAAATTAGTTAATAAACTAATAATCAAATTAGATAAATACGAAAAAATAGTTTTGATTGTTTTAAAATATTCATTAATTGTATTAGAAAGAAATATTAATAACTTCTTATGCATATATATTTTTTTATCTATATTTAGTTTCAAAGCGAGTTTTTTAAAATATTTTCTTTATTAAATTAGAGTGAAACCTTCTCTATTTTCATTTATCTTTTCCCGTTCTATTATGATGTTTTGTAATAATTATTAAAAATAATTATATGCTATGTATCATATTTAACTAATTTTTTAATATGCAATCCCATATATAGCATTAAATGTATATACACAAATTTAGTTTTTTAATAAATATTTATTATTTAATAGTATATTTAATCCACTTTAAATATATGTAATGTTAAATATATATATATATATATAACAGAGTATATTAAAATTATGATTAATGAATTATTTTTTCAAATTAAAGTATTTATAAATGATATATTAATAACGGTGATATTTATGGACAGCAGTTTATATTAATAAAATAATAATATTTATTAATTTATTAATATTTTCTGTTGTTTATTGAAGAAAGAAGATGCCAATTCATCAGCATATATATATATATATATATATATATATATATATATATATATATATATATATATATATATATATATATGTCTGTGTGTTTTGATGTGGAAAGTGATGATGACACGTGAGATGACAGAAAAAAGACCTCAACGATGAAATAACCTAACCATGAAATTGAAACAGAGAAACAAGTTGTCATTTGCTTTATTCCCCAGAACATGAGATGTCCCAGTCCCATGTTGCGTAGTGCAGTGTCTTCTCCACCAACAATCGAATGATCTATAACTTGATATTGTTAAGCCATGTTTTAGCAGTGTCGAATCATGAATGTATATGCCAATTTTCACAGTTTTTACTTAATAACACGTTATTTATTATACTTATTCACTACTTTATTCCTAAGCAATTTAAGCCATGAACACACTTTAAGCCATGCTTGACAGCTTCAGGCTTTTCCACTGTTTCTGAAAATGCAGGGACAGGTCTGGCCACTTTTTCTTATTCTGTCTCCTACTAATTCTCACTTCATTTTCAATACTTTCTTTATTTTTTAACCAACATCTTGAAAACCATGTTGAGTATTTTCCTTTTTCTTTTAACTTTCCTGTGAGAAACAATCCAACACTAAAGGTATCAATTCTCCCGTTCCTTGATGGCATGAGAGTGGTTCTAAAGTTTTATAATTTTTTTATAATTTATAATTTTACTTCTTCTAAATTTAATAATTATTTAATATATTTATAATTTTAATTTCCTCAAATTTATTATTTAATATATTTATTTATATATTTATAATTTTATTTTCTTATTATTTATAATTTTTATGATTTTATCCTTTATAATTTTATTTTATTATCATTTTATTTTTTATATTTATTTATTATTTATTAATAATATATTACTTCACCTTGACTCTAAACTCATTAATGAAGATCCGACAGAACAGATCAGTAAATCCTATAAATACCTTAACCCCACGCAACTGCAGATAATTCAAAACCCGTTACCCTTACTTGTGCTAGCCTTTGGTTAGACATTGTTCACCAAAAATCCAAAGCACCCATCTGTTTACAAAGAATCATCCTTGCCTTTCCCTAAGATGGAGATAAGATTCCTTGCTTTTTTCCTACTCATTTCAGGCATTCATGCCATATCAACCTCAGAGTTTAACATGAATTTCACTTCAGAAGGTAAAGACCAAATCCAGAGCAAAGGACAAGCACAACAACTTCTTGGTACGCGACTTCTTCATCCTTTCAAACTAAAAGTTTTTTTTTTTTTTTTTGTCACTGTCTCCTTTAAACTAATGTTATTCAGTGTACATAGGGAAATTATATGGAAGCATAGACGAGTCAATGAAGTTGAAGGACAAAGTTGAGGAAACTGAAAATGGGTACAGAGGAGAAGTACTTGGTGGTACCAGAAGAACATCGCATGGTGGGAGTTCAGGAGGCGGAGGAAAGAAAGGAAAGGCAGGAACTGGGGGCAGTGCAGATGTTAGTCGCCGGCCACGCCAAAGTTCGGCAACATCAAAGCCTCGTTCTTGGGTCTCCACATTTAACCTATGGGTAAGTTTGGCTTTAGTCACATTATTTTCTTTCCACTTGGTCTGATGCAATTCATGCAGAAAAAAATGGTTACCCTTTTTTATGGCCACTTCTTTTTTCAGTATATATTTTGGTCTTTCCTTGCAGTTCAGTTTGTGTCCTCCTTTTGAATACTCCCATGTTGTCACCCATCATATCATTGAATAACAATGTAATATGAATGAATTAATATTTGAATCTTGATTGTTGAGAGGGGGTGGTGTAAAACATTCAAGGCTAAGTTTATGCAAAAATGAAAAGGTTAAACTTGTGGGGTTGAAATTCTTGATTACACCTTTGGCTTTGGTTGACACTGATAATTGGTAATAAAGAAGCAGAAATGGAGCCAATTTTACTTTATTCCAGATTGAGAAACCAATAAATATGCTCTAATTATCATATATATATTTTAATTAAAGTGAAAGCTACAGTCAAATGATGAAATTACTCTTGTTCCTCTACACCTATAAATTATAATCTACAAATTTATTTCATGATTTAAATTAGTAATCCACTAAAGGAAAATTGCAGAACTCATGAACAATGAAGAAATTGCTCTCATACTGTGATATTTACCCTGCCAATCTTGCATAACAGTTTACAGCAGAAAACAATATATGAAACGACTAATAATAAGATCGTTTGTTTTTGTTAATGAAACAGCAATTTTTTTTTCTAATGATTTGCTGGAAGAATAAGACATTACAAGTGATTGAGTAAATGAAATTTTATCTACATCATTCTAACTTCCATTTCATGTTACTTGCAACAGGTATTAGGCTTAGCAATATTCTGTTGAAATGAAAACCTAACCTAATGGATAAATTATGCTTAGGAAGGACATTACTTTATTCCATTTTCTTACAACCGCTAAATGAATGTGTGCCACACTTTATGATAAGACTACACGTACACGTGACCTTCAAAATTGTAAAAGTATAAAATTGTAAGTTGTGGTTGTTTTTGATAGAAATTATAGACTTTTTCACAAATGGATAGCTCAGGAAACATAGTGCAATATGAATCTGATGCAGGGCAAGTAGAATCCCTAGTTGCGCATTGCCTTTTTTTTTTTTCTTCAAACTCTCCCTCTCTCGTTCCACTTTACGTTTTTTGTTGAATTAAATATTCATTCTCTACACCGTTATTTTCAAGACGAATCCTATAGCTTGTTTTTATGATTTCATATTTGTTATAATTCTAGTTTTATCTTATTTGCTTTTATATGAAGTGTAGTTTGGTTTTTCAGTTTTATGAACCAATTAAATTTTTGTTCTTTAAATTAAGCCTATCTGACCTTATCATAGATTTTTTTTTTCACCTAAAATTTTCTTTAACTCAATCTTTACAATAAATCATTACCCACCTTCTCTAAATATTATTAAAGCTTATCACAATACAAACAAAACTTGATTTTTCATATGTATATATTTATTGTTTACTGTCTTTGAAGACTTATATATAATATATTGTACAAGTCTTTTAAGATATAACATAAACTTTATGGATATAGCAAAATAACTCTTAAAAATATATATAAATCCAGTAAAAAAAAAATGAGAAAGAGAGAAGAGAAGATGAATGATTTTGTTTTATGATCTCGAAAGGGGCAATGCATCTATTTATAGGTATACATGATTTTAGAAAACCCAACCCCCCACGTCACATCTCCATCAAAACTTGCCGAAGAAATGCCAAGATATATGGAGTGAGAGGCTTCTAGATTTGCAGCACTTGGGGTCAATATTCATGGAGGAAGAATTGCAAAACACTCGTGGGTCTCGTTTGTAATTTTCATGCATTCGGTTTTGGTGTAGTGTGGATCATGAGTCTTGTGTTTAGCCTCTTTTTTTTATTTTTTTATGTGATACTTTCATAATAATTCTTCACATATTACAAAAATTAAAAGATACAAACAAATAAAAGAAGAAAATTCAGGATCTTATATAAAATGTAATATATCATAACTAGTATAGAAAACTATATGAATTCATCGTAGACTAAAAATTTAACATATAATGTAGTTAGTATAAGCAAAACATTGTGTGTGTTAACAGATTTATCAGTCATAATATACCCTCACAATTTTGACATGTGTCTCGTATTCATGAGTTAGAAATTTTGCAAAAATCTCATACAAGCGGTCTCATTCAACACTTATATAGATGATTTTATCAAGTGTTTGCTGCAAATCATACAATACTTATAAGAGATATGAAATCATTAAAAACTTTATTTAGACTAAAATTAGTACATCATATAAAATTTTAATTACAAAATTTAACTTCTCAATTATGCATTATCTTATATTTTCACTCACATTATAAGAATATACATAATTGATTTTAATCAATTTTAGTGTTAATAGAACTAACAAATGATTTATTTTTACCTATATGAGCCTTATTCATGGAATCTCCAATCACAAAGATTGTGCTACCATCACTTATTTGTTTGCAAGTCACTTGAGTCTCATTTTCTTCGATATTTTTAAAATTATGTTTCTCCCTAAGTTTTTTAAGTAAAACTCTTTACTAATCTTAGTCTTATATTTATCTATAAATCCATCAAGATTATACTTATTCTAAAGATCCACTTACAACCAATGAATTTTGCTGCTTTGGGAAAATATACTAAAGTCCAAATATTATTTTTCTTAATTGAGTCAATTTCATTCTTAATGGTCTTATCTTAATGTGTTGCATTAGGAATACTTGTAACCTCTAAAAAACTCATTTGATAATTTTCAATTAAATAAGTATAAAAATATTTTCCAAAAGAAGCTTCCTTTTTATGTCTTTTACTTTTCCTCAAATCCTTGTACATGTCATCACTATTAATATCTATAGATTGATTAGGTGTTTCACTAATTTTTAAAGGAAAAATATGTCCAAAGAATTCTACAATTTTTGTTTCTACTGTAATATTATGCTTAATTACCTCACTTGTAAGGACATGAAACTTATAAACAACATTAAGTTCCGCATAGTTTAACAACATTCAATTAGAAGTTTTAGAACCTATTTTTATTTTCTTAGGATCGGCTAAGATTACTTTAACTAAGCACCCCCACACTCTTAGGTATACCTAAGATTAGGTTGATAACCTCTCCATAACTCAAAGGGAGTTTTAACAGTTTTTTTATGTGGTATCCTATTTTGTAAAACACATGTTGTAAGTAATGTTTCTCCCCAAATGTTATAAGATGCACTAAAACTAATAAGCATGACATCTATAATTTCTTTAAAAGTTCTATTTTTTTTCTCTCAATTACTCCATTAGACTCAGGTGAATATAGTGGGGTCACTTCATGAATAATACCTTCTTTAACACAATAATCATTAAATAATATACATTTATCACCTCTATCTGATCTAATTCTTTTAATTTTCCTTTTTAATTGATTACTTCCGCTTTATAAGTTAAGAATATGTCAAACGTTTCGTTCTTATATTTAATTAAGTATACTTTAGAGTATCTAGAGTAGTTATTTATTAATGTTACAAAATAAATTTTACCACCTTTAGATATGGTTTGTTTTAGATCAACTAGATGAGTATGAATTAATTCTAAAAGTTCAGTTTGACGTTCTATTATATGACACGTCTTTCTTGTTATTTTAGATTTTACATATATCACATTTTCTACTTTGTTTATCATACATATCCAATAATCCTAATCGTCGCAATTTTATAACATATGAGAAATTTACATGTCCTAATATAACATGTCACACATCATATAAATCAATAATATAAGCAAATGAATCAGATTCATTAAAAACTTCATAGATGTTAAGTACAAAAAGACCTTGATCAGACTATCTTTTTCCCACAAATACATTATTTTTTATCATAACAATCTTATCATATTCAAATAATATTTTAACCCCAATTTTTTTCCAACGGTACTACAAATATTAGATTAACACTTATTGATGACACATGTAACATATCACTCAAGATCAAAGTCTTCCTAGATGTGAGTTTTAGAAGAACTTTTGTTTTTCCTAGGACAGGAGTTGTCCTACAAACACCAAAATAAACATGTTTTTTTTTTTTCATCTCCACATTGTTTACATATATGTGCATGATAACACCAGAGTCTACCACTCATATGCTCGCATTTGTCACAAGATTCATTTAGGAAACGACCATAACAATTCTATCTTCTTCTTCGATTAAATTTGCCTTAAGAGGATTGTCCTTTTTTATTTTATGTTTGCATTGAGATGCATGATGACCCGAATCTTCACAGACAAAACAATTTCTCTTATTCTTGAAGGTGAGATTAGATCCATTGGGACATAAATTTTTAAAATCATTTTTCCTCTTATATTCAAGTTTTTTCTCGTACCTTTTTAAGCTGGTTTGTCTGTGACCATATTTATCTTAGTTGATAACGCCTTAACCCATGTAGTAGCACACTCCTTTCCGCTGATATCTTTAATAATGATGTGTGTAATGAAATCTAAGTGACATTTGTTTATGTCGGTTTCATTTGTTATTTGTAATCTGTCCAGAATTCTGGAAGCTTTTCGATTAGAAGTTATGAAACGAACTCATCATGTAAGACTATGTTTTCTACTTTAATATCTTAAAACAGCTTGTGGTACCCGTTAATCTGGATCTTGTTGTCAATGTCTTCCTGCATCTCCCAATGGTAATAGTTTTCGATAACAAACCTTTGTTTCACGACATTTTCAACAATGTATTTGAGAATCAACGAATCTCATATTTTTTGCTTCCTTATAGGAACAATACACATCGAACAAATCATTAAACAATACATTAAGCAAAGTGTGTTGACATACCTTGTTTGAATAAATTCAATTTTTAATCTGTTTAATAAGATTAATGGAGTCATGTTTGGTAGTTGTAAGAGCGAAAGTCATTCCATACATGCCTAACTAGTAGAAATGCATTCTTGTCAACGTCAAAAGTTTTGTTCAGAGAAAACTTCAATTTTCAAAATGGTGAAAAAATATTTCGCAAAGACAATTTGAGTTTTGAAAATATTGTTTGTCTTTTCCGGTATAAAAATGTTGTTGATATTCTTACTGTTAGTCATAAGCAGTGACGAATCTTCTTGAGAGTTAAGGGGACCGTGATCTTCTCAAAGTTTTGTAATTTTCATATAATTTATAATTTCTGCCCCCCAAACATAATAAATATTTAATATATTTACTTGTATATTTATAATTTTATCCTCTCATTCTCTATTCAGTTTTGTAACTCTCATGTAATTTATGATTTTGTTTCCCTCAAACTTAATGATCATTTAATATATTTAAGTATAAATCTACAATTTTATCTTTTCACCCTTTCATATTCTTTCTTCCTTTTATATTTATTTATTATTTATTAATAATATATTATTTGACTCCCTACGATCAATGGTCAAGATCCACCACTAGTCATAAGTCCTTAAGATTTAGTTAAAGTTGACGAAAACACGAACAAAATTTGATTCCTGAGACAGATATACTAACAGCAGTTGAAGATTAATATGTATATTGTGCAATATCCCCAGGATATGATAGAAACTTCCAGGATTTTTCAAAGATCTCAAAATCTAACAAAAAAAAAAACTCTTAAAAGAGTATAAACTCAGAATAAAGAAAGAATGAGAAAGAGAGCAAAGGAGATGAAGGATTGTGTTTTATGATCTGGAAAGTGACAAAAACATCTATTTATACGTGTACATGATTAAAAAAAACTCAACCTCCTATGCCACCTCTCCTTGTGTGTCTCCTTGTGTGTAGAGTTCATGTGTTCGGTTTTGGCACAGCTTGAGTAGTGGGTCTCATGTTTAGTGATTTTTTTTTTTTACCATACTCTGTTTCATAGCAAATGTTACTACGTGGTTCAAACAAAGCTACCAACTTGAGACTTGGAACAGTTGTTTTACAATAGCCTCAACCTTGCTCATGCAGCTGATTAACAAAGGAAGGGATTCCTTTACTGGGACATGAGTGCAAGTAGCAAGAACGACCTATATCTTGGTTGGAAACCAGCTTGTCAACTACGTTTCCTCCGATTAGAAGAATTTCAATAATTCCTGACAGAATGCTATGAATATGTATATACTACACCTGACACAACTCTCAGTTATGGCATTATGTATATTTGGGAACAGAGGCTTATGCAGACAATACTCAAACAAGTCTTCAGCAAACTATAACATTAAATCAATAGTAGCTAAAGTCCATATATGTTTACAGATTATAACAATTATCAGAGAAATGTAGTCTATTCATAACTGAAATAGGTCCCATTAACAGTTGCATACCGTTTGTCAAAAGCAATTAGAGATAACAAAAGGTACGTAGGAAATAAACGCCACCTGGAAACATTGTGGCGTTCCTCAAATATCATACAAGTATTCCTTAAACACCTTCATATGCTCGGGCTGCAGAGCTATTGCCACAGATAAGCTCCCGTCATTGGTTGCGTTTGGAATTATGAAAGATAGCCCCTCGTATGCAACCCCACCAGGTCCCATGAATATGGGCCTTCCCCAACCAAAGTCAGCATCATGGATTGGAAGCCTGGTCCAGCTAGTGATGCCAAGATTTGGGCATTTGAAAGTGTGTGCCCCTCGAACCAGAGCTTTCAGATCAGGTTGCAGCTCTAGATAGTCAAGAGCGGATCTCAAATATTCATTGTCCATTCGTAGCAATGCATCGTGGATTCGGCTTGCAGCATACCATGTTGGTTTTGACATGAGATCACCTGCCACGGCTATAGGTGTGGTTGTGAAGATCACATTGCCAAAGTAACCTGGTGGGGGAGAAGGTTGCAGCCTTGACCTTCCATCAGTTGCAATGTACAATTTGGTCTCTTGATCATCAGGAAGTGCTCTTGCTTTGCATACACTTCTCCACACGTGACCTGCCAACATCTCATAAGAGCTGTAGTTGATTGTGTTCCCATCTTCTTTGGACTTGGCTTTGAGGGTGTTGAGCTGGTCACGTGTCAGTTTGAAAATAGATACAGCAGCAGCTGCACTATCTGAGTCTGTGCCCGGTTTAGTGGGTTGTTGAGTCTTCATGGCTGGTGGGGGCTTGTATTCGATGTGATCAAAAGCAGGTCGAGGTGGATCTCTGGCACGAAGTATTGTCCTATCAATGAAGGGTGGAATAGAAACATCCAAGCCACGAGCCACATCGGACCATGTATTGATGAAGTGTAGCCCTGAGGCCCCATCTGCTGCATGATGTTGCATACCAACTCCAAGTGATGCCCCTCCACATTTGAAACGTGTAACCTGAAAATATTTAAATTCAAATTGGGTAGGTATATATGCTTAAATAATTTAGTATCTAATCCAGTAACCACTAAGACAAATTGGATTAGTAAAAAAAAAGCCACATAATTAAATTAAAAGTTAAAATATTCCTATCCTGAGGCCATGCCCGAGATAATTAAGTATCCACTAACCACATTTCCCAGGAATTGGGGGGACCATGGCCTCGAGATAAGCAAGGCAAATGGATGTATACAATTACTTAAATATATCATAAACTTCATAGCTGTAATATCAATCATTCATTTTTTTTAAAATAATTTCTTCAATATTAAAATGTTATTATAATTTTTAATATTTCATTAAAATTAATTTAAAAATAAAACATCTCCAGTAAAATACTTACGTAAAGTACTAATTTCTTAAATAACTTTTATAGAAAGAATCATGTCACATGATAAGCTAATTTTGAATAATTGTTATTAGAGTAAAATCAATGAGATGATAAATTTATATTGTAGATATTTTAAGGTTTTAACAGGAAAAAGAGTGAATCAATGAGTTGAATTTCTGATTATTATAAATTTGGTATTTTATTTAACTTTAATATTATATAAAATAAACAGATAGATAATTTATATCTTTTAAAAGATTATTTAAAAAAAATATTTGGACATTAATATAAAATTCTATTCTAACAGCCAATTAGTAATTAGGCAATAAAATTATTAACTCCGTATATTAAACTTCATTTAAATATTTGCTTTTTAGGTGATTCTGCAATAAATTTTTGCCACAAAATAATATTAATCATATTTAATAAATATATCATATTATATAAATACTTTTATAATTAGATAGAGTAAAAACAATAGTTTGGGTTTTATTTTAAAGAATCATAATATCTTTTTTTAACAAAAATAAAAAAATGGATTGTGATCCCACTAATTCCTTGCCTCTACCCCTGTTTCTAGTTATCACAAATATTTAAGTATATGCATATGTGGTATAAAAATATGAATAAGAATATGTTCAAAATTAATTTATTCAATAATTTTTTACATGTAATAGAAAAATAAATTAAACTACATTTAACCAATTTTTTTATCAGTATATTTAACCAATTTGATGACCATAATTTTGCTATATAATTAATAAAAAATTAATATGATATAAAATCTCATAACTTGTACATCACAAATTATTTGGTTAAGCAATGGAGACGCAAAATTAAGTTTGAAACGTATAAATCTGGAAGTTGTAAATAGTTGCGATGCGATAAAGTTGAAAATTAACAACTTCTGTTTCGCCTCTCAGACACGGCAAAAACAAACACACACTTTGCGTGGGCACTGCTACCAAGAATGTTGACTCGTAACTCAAAATTGTTATTAACTATGAATAGAAGATTTCATTTTTTTTATAACTGATGATTATGTTATTCAGAATATAATTTATCTTAATTTTAATTATCTACTAAAATATAAATTAATAGTTACACAATTTCTCTATCAAATAATTATTCAACTTTAAAATAATCACTACTCAACAAAACCAAGTTCATGACTCGTTTATGCCATTTAATTGAATTATACAAAAATATATATATTTTTTATTTATAAATATTAAATTTTATCTCGTTAAAACAAAACATTGTGACGTCTTCTGCAACATAATAGAGACGTCTCTGCGTATATACGACTTAAAACAAAACAAACAAGCTTAGCAAAGTCAATATACGTTGTCGTTTAAAGTACGTTAATTTTGACTTAAATTTGTTAAATAAGTAACCTAAAAGTGGTATGCAAGCAAAACCAAACAAACAAGTAGTATACCTAACATTAAAAAAAAAAAGAGTAAAGTGAGAGAAGAAATAAAACGCAAAACGTAAAACGCAAAACGCACCTGTAATACCAAGAGGGGATAGGTTTCGATCCCTTGTGAATAATCCACGGCGGGGATGAGCTGCCGGAGCTCGAGGGTAGGTGCAAAGTCCCCGAAATCGTCGATGACGGAACAGGTCTCCGCCTCAACGAAGAGCACCCCTTGACCATCGCAGTCAATCTCCACGCGGCCGTCTTCGTCTCGCCGAAGCCTCCCAGCCATTGGGTAGAACGGCACCAGTACCTTGCTCAATGCCTCCTTCAGAACCTTCCCCTCGAAAAAGTTGGGCGCGCCGTTCGGTCTGTAGAAGTAGACGCTGGGCGTGTGGAAATTCGGCACCACCAGGTCCACGTTGGAGTTCCACACCACCCGCCGCTCCACCTCCTCCGCCGGCCGCACCATCGTGGATTCCTTCACGTTGATGATCATCTCTCTTATCCAATGCTTTCCCACTATCAATCATAATAATAATAATAAATACTATACGTTAATTTCGATCATGTAAAATAAAAATAAATACGAATAATAGATCCAGTTATAAAGTTTACGTAAATTATCTTTGATTGACACTGTCAAAAGAACAGCTACGAAAACAAAATTGTGAAAAGAACTTCGAGCGTGTAGTCTTTTAAGGCGGAGAAAAGTGTTGAAGACGGTTAGACTTTTCCTCGCGGACGTACGCACATCTCAACTCTCTAAAATATTACTTTGATTCTGATTCTGCTGTCAACTTTTCAATTTAGTATTCTTATATTTTTATTTTGCGGCACTTTCACTACCAAAGATTGAAACAATAACATATATATGGTTTGAACAGAGACTAAAATGAAAATATTAATTAAGTTAATAAATTATTTCTTCTGCGCTTAAACAAAATTATAATAGATCTGTATGATAATTAAGAAAGCAGGTTATTATCATCATGTAAATAAGTGTATAAAGAGTGGAGAGAAAAATAAGATAAAATAGAATGAATGGAAATAAAATTTGTGGATTATGCAAATGATAAGCTAAGAGACGATAGTGATAATGGAAGGGAAATCGAAAAGCAGCGTACGATTACCTGATGGAAGAAGTGCGCGTGAAACGAGGGTGCGATGTTGGTCGCTGGCTTGGAGGATGAGTGGCGATAGTTTTTAAGCAAAGTGAGAAGAGTCTGGGTTGAATCACTCACCAACCCCGCCAACTACATCCACCAATAACAAGACGCCACCTCACCAACACCACTCACTCACGCTTTTCTCTCTCCATCTCCACCACTCTCCCTCTCCAATCAATTCCACTTTTGTATCAGAAGTTGGTGAGACTGAGACCTCTAACCATTTCTTTTATTCACTCCACGAATAAATAATAAATGGAGTACACATTCAAATTACATTGCCCTAGTATATGTTACATGTGAAGGAGATAAAGAATAGTGGGTAATTGAGTGAGTCACCAACTCCTGTCCTCTAGAAGAAGGCACGGAGAGGGTGAAAAGTGGGGATGGATTGCATTGCATATCTCTATCTCACTTCTGACATCAAGGAATCGCCACCTCTCAATCACATAAGGATCTTGATTTAAAAATAAATATATATATATATATATATATATATTATTAAGAATTTCTAAATTATTTAAAATTAAACAAAGTTTATTTAAAATTTAAAAATATTTATATAAATACTAATTTTTAAAATAAAACCCACAATTAAATATTCATCATGAAATATACATTTTTATTAAATAACAAAGACCCATGTTTCTGCTTTCTCGAATCTCCATCTAATTTTCCCTCTTTTCATATTCTATTATTTTTATTTATTTTATGCGCACCTCTAATGTCTTTACGTGATCAAGACAAGTTACAACTTTATTTTTTACATTCATTCTTATAAATTAATATTACTTTCATCTTATTTTATATTTTTATATTTATTATTTTAATAAATATATTTTCTTAATTTAATCCTCTTAAATATATATTATGTAGTAATAATATTTTTAATTATTTCACATTATATTAAAAATATACTTATTAATATAATTTATTATCCAAAATAATATTAATAAGAAAATCTATAAATTTAAAATTTTTATATTAAAATACATATTTGGTATTATATCTTTTCATATTAAATATTACAATGTTTTTACAAATAAAAATTTTCTTTTTTTTCTCAGAATTAAATAAAATTTAACCACAGATTCATAACTATTATGATCAAATATCATCTGGTTGAATTATTATATTTTCTCGTAATAATATTCATATTATATATATATATATATATATATATATATATATATATATATAAAATTTATCTGTAGAATAATGAATTTTAAAAAAGCTACGTTCAAACGTAAATTATATAGTTTAAAACTTATCGTGATGATATTTAAAAGAAAATAGAATGGTGATATTTTGACAATAAGAAATTATACAACCCTCTAAATAACTTATTTTTATTAATATAATAATTTATAAAATGATTTAATAAAAATAAAAATAAATTAAAATTATTATTATAATATTAAAAGATAACTATTGACTTGAGTTATGTAAATTTAAGTTGTGAAAGTATTATTTTCTTTTACTTATCATTTGTCTCCTTCACTACCTACCCATTTGTCTGTCTAAAAAGTCATATTTTAACGTTCTAATTTTGTAACTTCTTTTAGAGGTTGGGTAAATAATTGTTTTTTTGCCAAAAAAAAAATCAACTTTCTAGAATTGGAGGACCTACATTGGAACTCATGCGTATATTACAAACAATAATTTAATAATAGTTTTATGAAATACATAATTTCTGTAGAATTATGATTATTATGTCTGCGCCAAGCATAACTGTGAATAATTTAAGCCGTTGAGTCCATATCATGCATAAGTTATTATAAAATTATTCTATTATATTTCTATATTAATATATAATAAGATACCTATTTTTATATATTTATCCTCATAACTTTTATTAGAAAAACATATGTGTTGTCACATTGTCACGTTTACACATTTATATTTTTCATCGCCTCATTTTATTTTAATATTTTAATTATATATGTTCACAAATAAAATATATATAGTTATTTAATATGCAAATCAATAAATTATTGTATAGTATATTTTTTATTATATAAAAATGAACATTATATATAAAATATAGTATTTATATATTTTGAAATATTTATGTATTTAATTTAACTGATAGTTTTTTAAAATAACATGTGTTAAACCAATTTATCAAAATAATAGATGATAAGATTTGATGTATATTTAAAACATCAATATATTTTATTTAATGCTAAAGTTATTAGACATGAAAAATCATTTTGACTTTAAATATAAAAAATAAGTACTTTCTCAAAACTTAAGTCTACATTAAATTTAAGAGAAAAAAAAGTAGAAAATTACAAGCACAGTTAAATTTTCAATTGTACTTTCAAGCATGTTAAGTTTGGTTACCTCTATTTTTATTTCATTTGTTCATATAAAAATATTATTTTCTTAATTAATAATTCCTTGATCTACTACCAGTTATCTTATTAAAGTTCTCCTACCTAAATTGAGATTCTTGGTATATTCAAAAGAGGAAAACCAATATTATTACTTTTTATATTAAAATAAAGAGATAAATTCAATAATTCTTTTAAAAATGATGCTACTATTAATTAAACATCTTCTGCCTTCAGTTGTATTTTAATTCTACTTGAATCTTATTAATTTTTTTTTTAACTTCAAAGAAGGCTAATAAAAATTTACTAGTCCTTTAAGAATTAAGTTTAATTAATAAAAACTTATAAATTAATAAGATGATTGTATTGATTAAGTAATTGGGCCCAATGTCCGTCCAAATGTACAAAGATCACTGTGGTTGCATGATATAACAAGCATAAAAGGAAAAGGCCCACTACGTGTATGCAATGCAGCCAAGCCCAGTTAATGAAAACACTTTTGTTAAGCCCAACTTCAATTCCATCCACATACATTACTAATGTTAAATAATTAATTATCTGATTAGTGTAAGTTTAAAAATTAAGTTAAAATATGTTTTTATGTAACTGATTCTCATGGTTTTAAAATTAAATTATTTAATTATTGCGCCACGTGTATATTTGTTACCACCCTTTATCCACTTTTCAGATATCCTTTTTCTGACGTTTTTCCATTTTTTTTATGGAAAATAATTTAAATATATATTAACAGATAAAAATATAATAAAGTTTTATATTTTAATTCTAATAAGTTGAAATAAACATATTTAATGTAAGAACAGGAGAAGTGAAGTCACATTTGAAGGTTTATTTTTATTTATTTTTTGTTAAAAAAACGAGTATAGTATTTATTTTGCAAATTATTTTAAATATTTTTTATTAATATATTACATGATAATTAGTTTTCTTATTTTTTAAAAAAATATATTGTTATTTTTTCTTTAAATTTTTTAAAAATATTATAACTGCTTTCAATAATAATATTTATTATTATTATTATTATTATTATTTATTTTTCTTTTTCATTCTTTTTTTTAGTTATAAATTTTTATATAATTACTCTAATTCCTAATATTTAACAATTTGAATAACTTAAATTTATAATCAAATCAAATATTATTTTCTTACCCATAAAAAGAAGTTTTGACTTAATATGTAATAATTCAGTTTTACTTTATTTTTAAATTAATTATTATCTTAATTAAATCTTATTTCACTTTAAGCTAAAATAAATCTTATAATTTCCACAAATTCATATACTTTTAGGCCTTCCGAGCCCAACTTAAATGCGTATATAATGTTTTCCTTGAAAATTGCTATTGCATTTTATTCTAACTTGCGTTTCTAGTTATGGGAGACATTTATTCGACTAGAAACTATATAATTGCGAATATAAACAAAAATAAATAGTTATAATTGAAATAATATTTTTTTTAAATTATATTTTTTCTTTTGGAAATACTAGATAAATTAAAAAAGATATATAAAAGAGTTACTATTGACTCAATTATTTAATGACATAAAAATTTTGGAAATACGAAAAGAGTCAAATACACAAAAGCCGATAAATACGTTTTTTTAGGAAACATTTGGTATATTAGTTATTAATATATAAATAAATATCTAGAAATTTTGTTTATCTTAACAATCCCAGATTCGAAATCTTAAAAAATAAATGATCTATTTAAGGCTTTTTTAATATAACAAGATCGTTATCCATGTGTTTTGAAAACAAAATAAACAAAAAATGAAATACTAAAATTTGTTTTTGACTAAAGAGTTTAAGAGAAGTCGAAGGTTCAGGAACCAACTCATAAAAAGTAAAATGAAAGGATATCCACTCGCATATGCGATATGCGATATGCGATAAGGATAAACAAATTAACAGATTTTTATTATCAACTAATATTTTTTAAAATTTCAAAGTAAGAGTTTCATTCCTTTTAATAAACTTATACCCCATTCATTTGTGAAAGAAATTTATAATAAACATTTACACACAAGAAATTTGTTGATTATTATAATAATCAAGTTAAGAAAATTATAATTAAACACTGTAACAAACAAATAAAAAGAACAGTGATGAATATGCAGATAAGATAAGAGCAACACTCTGGGTCTTTGTCAGCGGTTGTTTTCCCCCTCTCATTTTCTGTCTCCACGTCACCCTTGACTCAGTGGATAAGAATGGTGAATTCTTCCCACCGCAGATTCTCCCTTTTCACCATTCATTTATTTTCTATATAAATCTATTTCCCTTTCCACGTTTAGCCATACTTTATTTGCGTTTCGTTTCATCTGCTCTACAATTATTCAAATAACAAAGCAAAATAACCTAATTTTTTAGCTCCCTGACAGATTCCCCGTCAATTCAACTTGCCGTGCACATTGATCCATTCTAAACAATATCTCCCTTCCTCTGACGATCAAAGCTTCATTATTTAGAGCCAAAGCCTTTCTGGGTCGTTCTCACTTTTTCTGTTCGATATTTCGATTTGGAAGATTTAGACCTTCTTGCAAATGGCTGCTGCGACTGCTGGGGTTGTTGGTGGTAATGGTTCATCTGCTTCCTGGATGCAATTTAGAGGCAAGGAAAGGAAGCATACCAAGGTGAACAAATCTAGTGTTTCTTGCTCTTATTCTTCTTCTGTGATGGATCCTTACAAGACCTTGAGAATACAACGAGATGCCTCTGAAACTGAAGTCAGGAAGGCTTTCAGAAAGCTTGCTCTGCAGGTTTCAATCCCAACCCTAATTTTTCTTTACGCGTTTCTTTGTCTTTTATATTACCCCAATAGATTGGATTGATTTTTGACTTAGATATTATTTTCAATAACTGATGTGTGGTGATTGGGGTATTATTTTTCTGATAATAGAAATATTAATTAGTCGATGTTCTATTGTGTGTGTGGTTCAGTACCATCCAGATGTGTGCAGAGGGAGCAATTGCGGGGTGCAGTTTCACAAGATCAATGAGGCTTATGATGTATGTTTATATATCCTATCTCTTCCCTTTCTCTATGTTTCAGTTGCATAGTTATTTTAACAGAGAAATAGAATGAATGGAAACATGTTTAAATGCTGGTTTTTTACACCCTCAGTGGGTGCGTTTGTTCAATGATTGTTCTTTTTTCCTTACCCAACAAAAGCAATGTATACAGTTCCCGTTCTATTGTCGTGGCCTAATAAAAACTGTAAGTGTGATTAATAGTTGAAATTGAATCACCCCAATTGATCAAAAGCAATACTTTTATTTTTTTCAATTCATCTGAAAGTAATATATTATTTGATTATTTGATCTGGGGGGTTAATGTTATGAACCTTCCGACAGTTACCTAATTGGGATTTGGATGTTGGTTATTGAAACGCAGATTGTGATGGCGAGCTTGAGAGGAGAAACAAATACGACAGAAACTTATGAAACTTATTATGATTCTGACATGGATGAGCCTATGAGGGGAATGAATGATCCAGATTGGGACATGTGGGAGGAATGGATGGGGTGGGAAGGAGCAGGAATCCGTGATTACTCCTCTCATATTAATCCCTACATTTGAATACTTTAAGCCACTCTGTTCATAAATATTAGCCTTCTGAATCATCATCATCATCGTCTCCACCCACACCCACCCACCCACCAGTGGTTGATGTTCTCTGTGTATATAGTCCAGGTTCAAATGAATATAAAGTCCTCTCTGCATAATTGAAGTTGAGGAAATGATGCTTTAATAATTAATACGAGTAATGACAAAAAGAGTCATTCTTTAAGTATTAACATGAATACAAATGTATTGCATATGAATTGATGCCATCTTTTACTTTATTCATGAATGAGTACAGACGTTTCAACACATATATGAATATGATAAACTAAAGGGCCAACTATGGGGTCCTATATTAATATGTATTAGAAGGTATTAAGGTATTTCCATCTCTTAACAATGTGCAGTGTGCCAGTGCCAATCCTCTTCACATATTTGTTTATCTCTATCTAGATGGGAGATAAGGTTGCTACTTCACTCCCTAAACTGAGTTATTTCTCTCAGATATGCACGAATTTGATTATTTTGCAAGACACATCATATAAATTTTAATTTTATTAAAATTTGAATAAAAGACATTTTGTAAAACTTTGAGATTATGAGATGATTTTAGTATATGAAAAGAACAATTTCATCCCTGTTGAACCGTCACTGTCAGTTCAGAAAAGTATTTGGTCCACTTGAGTAGCAATTCTTTGAACGCAATTTTGTATCCAATGTAAACGGATTATTTTGTCGTTACGATTTTATATTTTCAGTTAAGCAAAATGGTGACCTTGACAAGACAAGGACATGTGTTGGTTTTCAACTATGTAACTTTACAAAATAAAACTGAAAAAGTTCCTTATCTTGGTTTTTAATTAAATTTAAACATACACTTAAACTTTTTAATACAAATATTGATTGATACAAGTGCTCTTTATCAAATCCCTAGATATTTAGTTTTTGAAAAAGAAACTCGAACAATTGATTACTATTTCTTGACCATTAAAGAACTCCCTGATCAAGTTCATTGCTGGAGTAACCATGAAATTGATTGACATTATTTGATTGTATCTTGTATTTAACTGATAGGCTGAATAAATTTGACAGTACCATTTTCCATATTACACATCTCATGCTCTATATATTTTTTGCCGTTACATCACACTATTCTTCACATCTAACCCTTCTTTCTCTTTTGTTCCTGTTTCTCTCCTGGGTGTCTATACTCTGAAGAGTACCACACATTTTCCAATTGACAGAAAAACGGTCTTTACATCTTCAATTATTGTGTCCTGATGAAAAAACCATCGGTTTTTTACTTGAAGCACCGATTTGGTTTAAACAAAACAGACGTGCTGAAAAGCATCAATAAATTGGCACCTTCTAACTAATTTAATTCATAACATTTGCAAGACAGACACATGTTTACTCATCCTTCACAACATTTGCAACACATTAATCAATACATCTTCGGCTAGACATGGAATCAGCTAATGATAAATTCACAACATTTGCGATACAAACATACTTCTTCTATCCAGCCATAGAATCAATTATCAATTAACCCTCATAGTGCGAGCTCTCTCTCTCTCTCTCTCTCACTCACACACCTACACACATATATATTAACGCATCCTTTTTTATCAGACACGGAATCAGCTAATGATTTTGACCAACCATAACAAGATAAGTATATGTTACAACAAACATTACACTGAAGTAATTGCCAAGCATATATGCAAACGAGAGACATATTCTGCGAGTGCACCCACACATAATGAGAAATCTCCCTATCCATTTTCTATGCGTCAAACAGGTAAATCATATCTAACCAATTTTATTATATAAGGAAAATTTCTTATACATCATTAGTTATTTTTTCCCAAATAAAAAGACCAATTTATCAGTACAGATCAATGAAAAAAGGAAGATGGACCTCCACCCCAAAGAATAAAACTAGAGAGAAAAGGACATCCAACAACATATGTAATGCCTTTCAATTTAGTGTTACTGGAAAAGTATGCTCTTAAACAAAATGCTGACGAAGATCATTTAGCAGATGCAGAACTGGATGAAAGTCTTTGGCTCCTTGCTTTATCAGCTTTTTCCAAGTAATCTTGGTGAGACTGGTGTTTACTACCTGCAAGGAAACAAGAAGTTCAAAAGATTAAGTATTTAAATGGCTGCAGAGAAGGAGATTTATAAGAAAATTTTAAATCTAAAACCCTTTTGAACTATCTACATGTGACAATCAAAACAAACCGATAAAAAAAACATCATTGAAAGTACTACAGGGATTCTTTATGAAGTCTAATTTTGTTTCTGGATTTCAAACAATAAAACTATGCACTAGATATCAGCATGAATGTAATGCATTTTGGTCAGGATAGTTTTTATTTTATGGTTACGCCTTGTCATAGTAAGCAGATGAACAAAATAGATCTACAAAATTGTTTTAGTCTTTGAGCAGGATATGAATTTAATCACTCAGAAGGTCAGACAATGGAGCAATTTTAGAAGACCCATCTAACAATTTTAGAGGACTCTTCTAACAACTGCCTTTCTTAGGATTTGACCAATCCCACTACGTCCTAACTCTATTCAACAGACCAATTATTAATGGCAACTAAAAGGGGATGGAGGAGAAAGAGAGAAGAGCTAATAACATGAAAAACAATCTTTTTATTACGCATTTCCCTGTATGTTGTTATTCCTCAAAGCAAGTCTTAGACTCCAGACTTTTTTTTAATAAAGAGGAAGGGGAAAAAAAGGGGTTGAGCAGACTAAGCACACGAGAAGAATACAACTTAATTTTTACTCACCCATCAATATTCAGTTTACACCTTAATCTTCTGTAGCCCAACACTCAACAAAAACATTGATTATTAGGACTTAAGCATGTGGGAAGAGTCCAACTCATAAGACCAGTCTATTAGGTTAGAGAGTGTCAAGACTTAAGCATCATGTTCTGTAATATATTCCATTCAACGTACAACTCCTAATATTGAGGAATCTTATAAAAATCTCCACTTGAAAACCGATTAAAGTCTGCAGTGCAGGTACGAAGAGCCAAAGCAGAATTGGCAGAACTTCGTGAATCCTATACAGCTGCTAACAACATACCTCTGACATAATTTTACTTTATTCCGTTAAGTGTTGCCAAAAAGCCCCCATTCTTGAACTAAGTGTAATTAAATTCACCGAGTTTCAAGTCTAATCTAAGTAGCAAAATGGTAAATCTATCTTAGACGATGAATAAGGACATTCGTAGCCATTTTGGTGAAGCAAAAGATCTGAGACACCCAGTTAAGATGTCAGTAGCAATAGCACATCAAATACAATTTTCAATAAGCATAGAAGATCAAATGCAAGCCACTAGCTCCACGAGGTTTAATTGAATTAAACAAGTTTTGCCCTTTTCCTTTTTCAATTTTGAACCACGAATTGTAGATTTAGTATCCCTAATTAGACTTGGAAACTTTATCAACAACCTCCAAACCGGACAACTTGCCGTTAGGAACAAGGTGTAAAATTTTGCATATAGCAAATGCTATCTTAGAAGGTTAAAATATAATACAAGTTCAAATCCTGAGAATCAATTGCACTAAGATTAGAGCTTTAAGCACAATAGTCCTGACAGAAGCAACTCATAATAGATTGTCAAGGGAAAGTTCAGAACTTTGTCAGCGATCTCAAATTTAAACTGATAGGGAATTGTTAATATTTCTCCAAAAAACAAGAAAACCATTTTCAGTTAGAAAAAAGAAGGAAGGTGTACCTCGGCTCATAAGGAACCATGGGATGGTAAAGACAGCGGTGATGAGAGTTAAACCAACAAAAACATGCTTCTTGTCACCACTATGGAGATAGTAATTGACCTTGGACCTGAATCTTCCTCCAACGTTGTTGTTACCGCTGTTGGCTTTAGTGTCGCTGCTCATCTTCCCTTTGCACCTTCCCCTCTCACTGCCAGAGCCCTAATTTCTTTTTATTAAAAAAAAAAAACTCTCTTTCCCTTTAATTCAGTATAAATTATCCATTAAGTTTTTTTTTTCAGACTGTATTTGAATAAGTGCAAAAATCATTTTAATGAATTTATTGAAATAAAATAAAATAAAGGATGAAAAAAAAATCATAAAACACTTATACGAATTAAAATAAATTCTTTTGAATGCTTTTTTTAACTTTTATTTCAAATGATTTTTTTTTTGTAAATAAAATGAAATTATAATAAGAGAATTTTGTAAACTGACATGGGTCGTGTGTGGTTATTCCTTAAACAATATAAGGGAAAAAAATGTGAAAATAATTTGCATAAGAAAAACTTTTTTTTTATGTTTTGTATTAATGGATAATCAAACCCACATTAAAAAAAAAAGGCTTTCATCATTGTTACGAGTGTTTAACAGTAAAGAGAAAAAAAATCAAAATTAATTGAAAATATTTAATTATAATTCAATAACAATAATACTTTATGTGATTGTTAATTTAATTTTTCTGACAGAAAAAAATTTATAAAGAAAAAATTATGCAATTTTAAAGTTTAAACTTATAAAGAAAAATCAAAATCTTTTTTCCTGAGAATGTAAAGTTTGAGAGTTAGAGTATTATATGAAATTAAATAAGAAAAAAAAATCAGAATTACCTTAAATACGCAACACTTGATAAAGGTGTGCAAATAGATTTTGTTGAAAGTGAAGAATCATGTGAGGACCCATTTACACATAAGAAATGGAAAGAAATGTCAGTAACAGAGAGTTTTTATATTGTTACTTAATTGTAATACGTAATGAGTATTTTAAAATTAAACGAATAGTAATTTGTGATTGGTTGATAAAAAATAAACAATATAAAAAAGGTAAAAGTTTTATAAAAAATGAATAGGGTGGAGTGGAGGGACATTAACTGTGTGCAATAATTGCATCTGGGCCAAGCAAAGTTGGAGACTTTGGCAGGACCCTTTTTAATGAATAACGGGCAAAATACAGTGCATGCAACACACACAACAGAGAGAGAGTCAAGTAAAGAAAAGAGATATGGGAGGGTGGTGGAAGCTCACATGTGCCCTTTTGCTACTCCTCTCCGCCGTAGCCACCGCCACTGACCACATTGTGGGTGCCAATCGTGGCTGGAACCCTGGCATCAACTACACTCTTTGGGCCAACAACCACACTTTCTATGTCGGCGACCTTATCTGTTAGTCAAACTCTCTCTTTTTTAATTCTTCCTTTCTGTTTAGCAACCTTCTAACACTCATGCTAGATCCTTCACTTAACCTTCAGATCTGAACAATTTCTCTGCATATAATCTTCTCTTAACCTTGCAGATCTAAACATACTTTCAATTTTTTTTTATCCTTTGGCATGCGTGTTTAACAGCATTCAGGTACCAAAAGAACCAATACAATGTGTTTGAGGTGAACCAAACTGGGTATGACAACTGCACCTTGGATGGGGCAGTGGGGAATTGGAGCAGTGGCAAGGATTTCATACCCCTGAATAAGGCAAAGAGATATTACTTCATTTGTGGGAATGGCCAATGCTTCAGTGGAATGAAGGTGTCTGTTCTTGTCCATCCTCTTCCTTCTCCTCCCTCTGCAGTTGCTGCTGAACATTCAACGCCACACTCTGCTTCTCCTCTGCTCCTCCCACGCTCTCTACTGCTTTCTTATGTTCTGGCTTGCTTTGGATTTGTTTGGATGTAGCCACTGTTCCTCATTCTTTTCTCCTTTCTTCTCATTTTCTTGTTCTATCTTCCATCTTTGTTTCCGATTCACATCTTTCTATGCCAAATGTAAGCTTCCCTTGTTAGTGCTGAAATCTTGGATTTTTCAACACTCATGCTTCTATATTTCTGTTTTAAAGTAATTTGTTTTAAAAATGTAAACACTGCAAGATTATGATTCCTCAAAATCACGATGTCCGAGTTGGTTCCAACAAGTTTGGAGAAAATAACTGCATAACGGTGGTAATGATTAAGCTCCTTCTAAAAATGAATTAAAACAAAGTGTTTGATCTTTGATGTACTAAGTTGTAGGATATTTGCAATACAGATTTGGTCCTTTGTTGTTAGATTGGAATGTTTTCCAACATTCTCTCTAGCTCCCTAATACAATTGGATAAACTATTCTTTCCATCAAAACCATAAGAAAAAAGAAGATTCAGTGTATGATGTTATTTATTTAATTTTTTATTTATTTTAAACTTGATCCAATACATGTTCATCCCGATATAATGTTTCTTTTTTTATGTAATCTTATATTATAATTTAATTTATTCAACAAAAATCCAAACTTTAAGTTAATACTTAAATATATTTACTATGGTATAATTTCTGCATTTTAAAATTTATTTATTAATGTTTAGTTACATAAAATAAATATTTGTTTTCTAAATTACGCAAATTAAAATACTAATTATTATACAAAAATTAAAAGTCTACTCAAAATTTACAACGATGTTTTGGAGAAACCAACTAATCAATTAAAATAAAAATTGAAAACAAACAGAATGTAAGGAGCATATTCAATAAAGAGAATTAAATTTAATATCTACTTAAGACAATAAATTTTTATTGAAGCATATTATCTAAGTTTTATAAAAACCTTTTGTTGAAGTAAATTGATGTAACATGATGAGGGTCTTAAAATTAAGATAGAAGTCTTGTAAGAAATATTCATTAGAACATGTTGAAGTGCAAGTTTTAAGAAAAAAAAAACTTTCCAATATGAATGTCTTTACAATATCAACATTAAATTAATATTTAGTTGTAATAATAAAATTAATTTGTATTTATAAAAAATTGAAGTGCAAATTAAAATTTCTAAAAGTGTGGGGTCTTGCTAGATTTCACCAATGAAATAATTAAAATAAATGTAACATGGTGAGAAGAGGACAACCTAAAATAAAATGAGACCTTGTAAGAGTTGCTTATCATGATGGCCTTCGAAAGTCATTTATAAGGTTCAATTTTTTGAAATTTCAATATTGTCAAAGTTAACATTCCAAACTTTTAATATTTATCCTCTAAAAACAAATTTTAATTATATATTTTTGGAGAGAGAAAGTGAGTGTGAAATCCTAACAGTGGTATCCAAAATCTTAAAAGAAAAAAATCTTTATTTTTTTTGCAACCATAAATGATGAATTAGAAAATATAGCCATAATAAAGGTTAGTAAAGATATAAAAACAATATAAAATAAAAGATTAATAAACACTAATACTTGTACTTTTCCATCAATAACTTATATTTTAATTTATACGTAATTGAATGAAAGGAGTTTTAAGAAAAAGGGGAAAGCAAAAAAAGATGGAGCGAAGTTTATATATATATATATATTGAGATTGTAATTTGTAATGAAGATGCTTAAAACAAACCAACAAACCAACAATTGACTCGCTCATTGTAGCGTAACCTCTCGCTTGTGTAGAAAACCATCGGAATTGGTCACCATTCAGAACTGTGTGTTCTTTGTGTGTGATCAATTCATTGTACATTCTCATGGCTCAATTCTCACTCTCTTCATCTGCAAAGCACTCTTCTTCTCCTTCTTCTTCGTTGACCAACATAAACAATTTATCAGATGATGTCTTGGCAGAAATATTTGTTCAAATGCCATTCAGATCCATTCTGAAGTGTAAGTGTGTGTGCAAACGATGGTTGAGGATGATCTCAAGTGCTTCTTTCCCAACAGAATTTGTGTCCCGCCAACACTCTCTCTTCAGCACTTACTTGACCTTCCTCTCGTCCCACCAACTCATTCTCGGTTTCTTTCCAAGAGATTCGGACTTGAATGTTCAAACCCACATGGTACCTCTATCTCCAGACACGCTCATACGGGGGGACGTTTGTGGCTATTCGAACGGCTTGTTTTTGTGCTGCAGTAACAGATACACGACTGGTCGTGGCTACTTCGTGTACGATCCACTCACCAAGCAATGCACCCATATACCATCTTTTCCTGATGCAGATGAGGGTCAAGGGTTATACGCTGTTGGCTTCCTTTCTCATACTCATCATCCCAAACAAGGAGAGGATGGAGGGCGTTCTAGTCGCTGCTTCTGGGTGGTCATTATAAGAACCTTTATAAGAAGAAAGTATGAGTTTGAAGTGGATGCTTTCTCCTCCGAGAGAGGAAAATGGAGACAAGCATATGCGAGTTGCGCGGAGGGCTTTGCTTTTGCTCCTCACTGGATGCTCAGTTTTGCTTTTGGAGGGTACCTGTATTTCATGGGGAGTATTAATATTTTTGTGTTTGATCCTAAGTTTTTGTTTTCTAGCACAATTGATTACCCTCAAGATGCTGATGCTATGAATATAATGAGCTTTGGATTCCTTGGATGCTCTGGTGGGACTCTGAGGATCGCTGATATTGGCAAAAATGAGTTGAGAGTGTGGGAACTAACGAACCCTCAGAGATGGCATTTGGTGCACAAGACCAATTTCTCAGAACACCTTCCAACCTCATTTTGCAGTAATTATTATAAACGTGTAGCGGGTTTCCATCCCTATGATGGAGATACTGTGTATTTGTATTCCTATGTTGATGGGATTTTTGTTGCCAACCTACGTACCAAAAAATTTGAGCCAATATCTGGTTATGACAAATCAGATATTAGTCCCTTTCAAGTGGAACTCTCTCCAATTCCATATGCATGATTGTAGGACAAGTAATTGAAAGCTCCCACCTCAAAAGTTGGTGCTTAGTTATTTCAACCAGCTTTTATGTCATGAACATGTGATTCTAATTTCTTGCAGTCTGGAAACTAATGTTACTGTTATGTTTCTGCTCCTGCAGGGAAGGCTGAGGAAAGCACAAGATCCAACTGGCTCTGCAAACTTACAGAAGAGGATTCGAGGCTTATTGTTATCACAGAGAATGAATATGTTTAAATAGTTTTGCAATAGATATTAGATTTCAATCTAATTAGGTTTTGATTTTATGTTTATAGATTTTATTTTGTCCTCTATAAACTTTCGTATGATGGGCTTTAAATAGTTTATAGATTAATAAACGAAGTTATGTAGTTGTGTTCCCCCTTTTATTCTCCATCGTGGTGTGACTCGAAACGAAATTAGTGGTGCTATAGCATGTTTGATCAAACAAGTTCATGAATGATACGAGCGAAAATCTTGGACCAGATAGAGCATATAAAATAAATATGGGACCGAGGAAATTTTTTTGAGAGAATAAAAGCATGAGCTTTTAAAGATTTTTGGAAGAAAGTCATGGGTTCTGGGAGTAGTATTCTGACTCTAGTTATTTTCAACGAAAGTAAGAAACAAAAGATTCTGGGTTGTGGGGAAAGATTTGGAGATTTGATTCCGAGATGACTTTGTTTGTCGGACGAGGAGAATAAAAGGTGAAAATTATGAAGAAAATGAAAAAGGTAGGTTTCTTGCAGATTATCAATGAAGCAAAAAGCTGTATGTGTTAGTATTATGGTGCTTGATTTAGTCCCACATCGATTAGGATTGTGAGATGAGGTTCTCTATTTTGTTATATAAGCAACCCTATGTAAAGTTTGAGATACACACGAAATAAAAATACTTCCTAGTGTAGTCGTGGACGTAGGCATACATATTTTAGCCGAACCACGTTAAAATTCTTGTGTCGTTTATTTTTCTCTCCTTTATTCTTTCCTTTATTATTGTCTTGTTCCTAACAATTGGTATCAAGAGCCAATTTTCTTAGTATGCTCTGTGGTTGCAACTTTGTCTGATCTTCCACATCAGAAAAGATTTGGTCTTTTTTCTTGGGAATCTCAGTTTAGAGAAGCAGTGGGAGCTTTCTTCGAAAGCAGTGAGAGCAATGGCATTGGAAGAAGGAAAGGTGAGAATCGAGAAGTTCGATGGCAGTGACTTCGGGTTCCGGAAGATGCAGATGGAAGATTATCTCGTATCGAAGAAGTTGTATCTACCCTTGACAGGCAGAAGCCAACCGACATGGAGCAGATCAGAATGGGAGTTGTTAGATCGGCAGACGCTTGGTGTGATCCGGCTGACATTAGCCAAGAATGTTGCGTTCAACATCATGAACGAGAAGACAACCGTAGATTTGATGCGGCGTTGTCAAATATGTATGAGAAGCCCTCTGCAGCCAATAAAGTGCATTTGATTCGCAGGCTAGTCAACCTCAAAATGGGTGAAGGTAACTCGGTTACTAATCATATTAGTGAATTTAATGCAATTATTGCGCAGCTTGACATCAGTGCAGTATAATATTTGATGATGAGGTGAAAGCATTAATTTTATTATCATCTCTACCGAAAGTTGGGGTGCAACTCGCTATCGCAGTAAGTAATTCTCGCAAGCAATAACAAGTTGAAGCTTGATAACATCCGTGACTTGATCTTAAGCGAAGATGTTCGCAGAAAAATTCGAGAGAATCTTTCAGCTTCTAATTCGAGTTCAAGCATTGAGTACCGAAACTAGAGGAAGAAGTCACCGTAAAGGTCGTAATCAAGGCCGAGGCAGCATCAAAATCCAGAGGGAGATCACAAGCAAAAGTCCGAATGATATCACTTGTTGGAATTGTCGAAAAAGGGCCACTTTTCAAATCAAGTGTAGGGCTCCAAAGAAGGACAACAACAACAACAAGAAGCAAGATGATGATCAATCAAGAAATGCAGAGAATCGATGAAGTTGAAGATGCACTCGTTATGTAGTTTAGATAATTCTATTGACTCATGGATTATGGACTCAGGTGCGTCATTTCATACTACACCTTCCTTAGAACTATTATCTAACTATGTTTCGGAAAGTTTGGGAAGGTCTACCTTGCAGATGGAAAATCTCTTGATATCATAGGAAGAGGTGATATTAACATCGAACCTCTAATGGAAACGTGTGGACTTTGAATAATGTCGACATATTCCAACCTTAAAGAGAAACTTAATATCTATAGGGCAGCTTGGATGATGAGGGACATTACACCACTTTTGGAGATGGACATTGGAAGGTAATGAAAGGTAATCTTGTTGTTGCTCGTGGAAAGAAGCAAGGATCTCTCTACATGATTGCAGATGAGGATATGATATCGCTTGCGAAGTTGGCAACAATTCCTCCTTATGGCATCGAGGCTTGGGCATATGAGTGAGAAAGGAATGAAGCTCATGATATCAAAAGGTAAAATACCTAACGTGAAGCATGTTGACGTTGGACCTTGCGAACATTGTATCTTTGGAAAGCGTAAAAAGGTTAGCTTCTCAAAAACAAGTAAGTCGTCTAAAGTTGAAAGACTAGAACTAGTGCATACGCATGTTTGGGGCCAGCTTCAGTGAAATCCCTTGGAGGTTCACAATATTATGTAACCTTCATTGATGACTCTACAAGAAAGGTATGGGTTTATTTTCTTAAAAATAAATCTGATGTGTTTAAAAGGTGGAAAAAGGAGGTTGAGACTCAAACAGGTTTAAAGGTCAAATGTTTGAAGTCTGATAATGGTGGAGAATATGACAATAGTCAATTCAAGGAGTTTTGTTCAGAGAATGGGATCAGAATGATCAAGACAATAATAAAGGAAAGAATAAAGGAGAGAAAAATAAACGACACAAGAATTTTAACGTGGTTCGGCTAAAATATGTATGCCTACGTCCACGACTACACTAGGAAGTATTTTTATTTCTGTGTGTATCTCAAACTTTACATAGGGTTGCTTATATAACAAAATAGAGAACCTCATCTCACAATCCTAATCGATGTGGGACTAAATCAAGCACCATAATACTAACAATTCTCCCACTTGGAGTTTGATTTACGTTACCACCTAGTGTAGTGCCTTCATCATCAATTTGCTCGAAGGCCAGTTGAGGCAATGCAAAGCCTCAACTTAGTTGTTGTAACAGTCTTGGTCAACATATCGGCGGATTCTCGCACTGGAATCTTCAACAAACTCAAGTCTCCATCATTTATCGAGTTTCGATAAAATGATACTTCAATTCAATGTGCTTACATCCGGAATGAAGGATTGGATTTTTAGCAAGACAAATAGCACTTTGACTGTCACTAAACAACGGAGAACCATCTTGTTCTCTTCCTAATTCTTTTAGAAGGTTCTTCAACCATATCATCTCCTTCGCTGCTTCTGAGATAGCTACATACTCTGCTTCAGTGGTTGAGAGACTTGGGAGGTGATCTTGACGGTAGAAAGAGCACAACAGGTTATATTTTTACATTGGGTGGTACAGCTATCAGTTGGAAGTCTAAACTTCAAGGAAGAGTCTCTCTCTCAACCACTGAAGCAGAGTATGTAGCTATCTCGTGAAGCAGCGAAGGAGATGATATGGTTGAAGAACCTTCTAAAAGAATTAGGAAGAGAACAAGATGGTTCTCCGTTGTTTAGTGACGAGTCAAAGTGCTATTTGTCTTGCTAAAAATCCAATCCTTCATTCCAGATGTAAGCACATTGAATTGAAGTATCATTTTATCGAAACCCGATAAATGATGGAGACTTGAGTTTGTTGAAGATTCCAGGTGCGGAGAATCCCGCCGATATGTTGACCAAGACTGTTACAACAACTAAGTTGAGGTTTTGCATTGCCTCAACTGGCCTTCGAGCAAATTGATGATGAAGGCACTACACTAGGTGGTAACGTAAATCAAACTCCAAGTGGGAGAATTGTTAGTATTATGGTGCTTGATTTAGTCCCACATCGATTAGGATTGTGAGATGAGGTTCTCTATTTTGTTATATAAGCAACCCTATGTAAAGTTTGAGATACACACAGAAATAAAAATACTTCCTAGTGTAGTCGTGGACGTAGGCATACATATTTTAGCCGAACCACGTTAAAATTCTTGTGTCGTTTATTTTTCTCTCCTTTATTCTTTCCTTTATTATTGTCTTGTTCCTAACAGTATGCAGGGGAGTTTTCAATAAAAATAAGCAAAAACTAAAAGCACCAATGCATGCCAATATTTTATATAGATCGGTAATACATACATTTGAATTGCTAGAAATAAACAAATAACCATTTTAGATCAGTAACTAATAATCCAAGTATAATTGACTCTAGCACTATCTCACTATACAATCAATCACTTCAAGGCTACTGTGATATAGTTAGTCCATGTCATATTGAAAGGAGTAAGCTTATTGTATGTCATTGCAATGTTGAGATAATGGCTGCAAGAAGTAGGATGTGCAAAGTTGTAATACAGTGAAGTATGAATTATGAACATCAACTTCGTTTTCAAGTACAAGTGCCTTCTACTGCAAACCAACCGACAGAAGGATTAATTAAAGTTATTAATCTTGAGCTAATTGGTAAAATGAGTTTTCAGAAATTTTGGTAAGAACATAATTTGTAGATAAATATGCATAGCCTTCATTGTGTTTACTAGCTTCTGCATACTTATGCAGAACTATAAAAAATATATATGTAAACAAACAAAGTTGCTGCAATATACATCAAAACCTGACTCAGAAATTGAGATCATAAAATTCATAAATTAGCTACTTCTCATACTAAGTCAAAATATTTATGTTTTATATGAGCAGGATAATTACTCTACACTAAAACTCATGCAAAATATTCATCCCTCAACATTTTTCATTTTTTAACATACGTATGTCTGCATTAGTTATTGAAAGCCGTGAAGAAGTCAAGGAATTTCATTGAGGTTTTTACTTGATCGAATCCTGTTTTTGTTTTTATCAGTATATTAAACTGTATTTAAACAATTGACCATAAATGACAGATTTGATTTTACCTTTTACTTGTTATAAATTTACTTATTGCAATATGGTTGGTCTTTTTTATGTTCAACCCAGCTTACCACAGAACATGGGTACGTGAGACGGTAATTTTACTCACAATTTAAAATGAACATTCCAAAAAAACCCAAAAGTATTTATGCAAAATTTAAGCATGTATGAACATACATGTTTTCATTAGTTATTGTTATAATATTTATAATTGCTTGATAATATAACATGTATCATTGCATGGGTACTAAAACCAGATACTAATGGCATTTTACTTATGTTTCCCTTTTAGTATTAATGTTCGGTTGGCAGATATAAAATCTAAAGCAAAAACACTAACTGATTTGATGAAGGAATTGCAAGTGCTTTTAGCTTTTTTGTCACGGTTAGAATGTTAAGAGAGCGAGCAACTTCACTTTTCCACACCACATCACACATTGTATTTTCTGAAAGAACAAATCAAAATCAGATATCTTCACCAAAAGCAATTCTGATAACCATTGAACCGATTTCTCTCTTGGAGCTAACATTATCCAGTATTTAGAATCAAAGTATAACTCAAACACTTCTTCAATTCAAAATTTTAAATCAAATTTTGGAACAAAAAAGAGAAAAAAAATTGAAAAGATTTTCATGTACTCTAGTTAATAAGGGTACCTGATCCAATGATCCTATAAGATGCAGGACAAAACCCAAAAATAAAAAAATTATAAAACCAGAACCTAATTCCAGTGTGGTAATCATAGTTAATCATCACCACCGCCCTTCTTCTTAGACTTGCGATATTTTTCTTCAACTTGCTTTGCCTCTAACAAGGCAGTGTCAGCCAGCTTCCTGAGGTTAGGAATTTGATAATTCTGAGCCAAGTAAACCCCAAAGGCAATTCCTGCAATGAAAGAGAAGCTACTCCTAATTATACCCATTACAGTTGCTTCAGTGGTTGGTTGCTATGAAATATCTCGTATTGCAATATCACTTTTGCCAGAATCACTGTCAGGAAGAAGCAAATCAGATCAGGCGAAAATTATTTGAAGAAGTAATTTGTTTAAGTGGTTTTCATTCCAGTAAAAAATAGTGGTTGTCATTATCAGGTTCCATCTTCTCAGGGTACACTGCCCTCTTTATATAAAGATTAAATTATTCATTGAACCCTGATGAAGAAATGAATTACAGCTCAATTCCATTGAAACATAAATATCCAAAATAAACAATATTATTAGGTTTCAGCTTCATCTTCTCAAACAAATACTCTTCCATTGTATCAATTAAAATGATTCAAGCTAGAAAATCACAGTTTAACATCAATAGTTTTCACATCACTAATCAACTCTATTCCCAGAATAACAGATTAAAAGAAAATTGGGAACGCAAAATATGGTTATTAGGCGTTGCTAGCAACTGACATCAATCATAGACACAAAAGGATTCATTGTTCACTAAAATTTCGAAATAACATCCCGTAAATCATGCATAGACCAACAAATTAATAAATCCCTTTCCATAGATAATAATATAAAGAGGGGATGAAATATCGTACCGAAGGAGGCTGACGATACTGATTTGATTCCGCGAGATACTGACACGAGGAAATGGAGGTGTGTAGAGATGTTGATGGTAAATGAATTGCATGAAATTCTGGAAAACCTAAGACGATTCACCGTAGAAGACCACCTCCTTGAAACGTGTTGTTTCGCTGGTGACTAACTAGGGAGTAGATGCATTAATTTTTTTTAATTAATCTTCATATATATATTTTAAGGAAATATAAATTTATAGCGAGAAAATGTACTCCTGGTTCTTATTTAACTAGTTTTTTAATTCTCTAATAATATTAAAATTTTTAATAATTTTCTAATAGTAATTATTTCATATTAAATTGTAAGGATTTTTAAATAATTTCTTCCAAAAACGTAAGAGTAAATATGAAACCATTTTCACATGTACAGTTTGTCAAATAAATCCAGACAAATTATACTGCATCTAAATTTTTAAATAAATGCACAAAGTTTAACAAAAATTAACATTATATTAAGGTTTATTAATAAGTAAAGATTAATTATACGAAACCGTCAAAAGCTTTTAAATTATAAAAAAGATATTTACGATTTTGAAAAAATATAGAAATATACAAAGTAGTTGTATTAATTGTTTACTTTTAAAAAAAGAAAATAATTATTAGAAATCAATTAAGTTATGAGTTTTCTTTTATAGTCATCTTAATTAACTAGTTTATATGTGTAAGTCCTCTTAAAAGATTCCTCATATTTAAATTAAAATATTGACTTAATATGTTTTTATTTTATATAAAATTAGTGAGTATTGATTTTGGTTTATATAAATTTTTCTTTGCTTTTCTATTTTATCTCCATAAAATTTAAATAATTAATTTTAGTTCTTATAAAATGTGAAAGTTTTAGTTTAATATCTACAAAATATTTTTTTTATCAATTTTTTTGCATCTATTTTTAATTTTTAATATTTATTTTAAGATAGATAAATAACATTTATTTTATAAATCTAAAGTTTGTTTTTAAATGTTATATATATACTAATATTATATTACAACATTATTATTATGTGATACTTGAAATTGTTATTTAATTATTTTTCAAAACACAAATAATAATATTACAATAAAAAAATATTTTCAATGTTAAAAGGAACAAACACAAAGATTTTTTTTATATATAAAACTAAAGTAAAAACTCATTCATTTTATATTGCTTAAAAACGTATTTAAATATAAAATATTTATAAATATATTTTTCATGAGTAGGATTGTTACGAGTTGTTTTGTTTATTTTTACGAAGAGATTTTACAAAATAAATTAAAATATTTATTTTAAAAATAAAAAATGTATATGTTATCGATTGAAAGAAGCAAAGGGTGACTATTGGAAAGTTCATAGTACTTATTTCTTCTTAAAATAATAAAATCTATATTATTAGCTAAGAACAAAATATTTACCCTTTTTCAACATATCTATCTATTACAAAAAAATTTAATGAAAGAAGTTGAGTAATTAAACGAATGCAAAATGAACTAAATAGTTTTTAACAGCTAACTCAATTAAAAAACTTAAATCAATCAATCAACATAAATATGATATTACATTTAGAACCAAACCAATTTACATACTATTTACATAATTGATTCAGATGGCTTTTTTATTCTTATTAAAATGTGACTTGATAGTAATTAATATCTATTTTTAAACTCACATTTTTCAAATTGAAATACAGACACTCCAATAATGGACTGATCAATTTTTTTTTCAAAACTCATTCCCGGAATTAAAAAAGAAGACGTGATTTGATATAAACTAATCTTTTGTGCATTAGCTTCATAAATATGAATTTCAATGTAACTAAAACTTATAATAAATAAAATTTTCTAATATAGAAATTATACTGTAATAAAAATCATAATACGTATTATTTCAAAAATTATGATATCAAATTACTTTTAATTATTAACAATTTGAAAAAAAAACTTTTGAAATTTAATTTGAAAATATTGATAAAAGAGAATAAATTGAAATTGATTGATGATCAAAAGATATAAATGCAAATAAAAATAAAAGAATTAAAATTGAAATTGTTGAGAAAAAAAGAAGAAGAAGCTAATACAATGCACATATAAAAGAATGTTGAGAATCACTATCAGAAAATATGTGAGAATTTCACTCTGTAAATTATATACTTATTAAAGGGAAATCTGCGTGAATTTTAAGCATTAAGAATAATTCGAAACAAGTAGAATTTTCTCTGTTTATTTCTCTATTTTTGGTCAAACCAAATGTTGAACATATCTAAAGAAACTGTCAAAGATTGAATATGAAATTGTTGACATAATAACACTCTTACTGATTTCGGATTTCTCCTGAATACAAAGGATACACTAATTTGATGGAGGAAATACAAACATGCAACTTAACTCTTCAACACTACCATTACCATTACACATGCATATTATGTTAAACAAAAATATAATATCTTGAAAGAGCAAATCCCAATTAGATACCATCAGTCCATCACCAAGAGCAACAACTAAAGGATTATTCAACAAGAATATATCCCTTAATGGTCATTCCGGGCAAAATGCTTCCCGGGCTATTAATTACAATTCTGATTATCATTTAAGTTATCAAATATTCAAGAATGTGAATACAACTCACATTAAACCTGTCAAGACATTTTCCACTATTTATTTTCCAATTACTCATTCTGGTTAATAGAGGTATACCTGATCCTATATAATGCAGGACCAAACTCAAAAAAGCCAAACTAGAAAAACTAAGAACCTGATTCCAGTGTGGGGTTTTTTAATCACAGTTATCATCATCATTGCCCTTCTTCTTACTTAGACTTGCGATATTTTTCCTCAACTTGCTTTGCCTGTATCAAAGCAGTGTCAGCTTCCTTCTTGACGTCAGGAACTTGATAACTCTGAGCCAAGTAAACCCCAAACACCGTACCTGCAATGAAAGAGAAGCAACTCCTGATTATACCCATCACCGTTGCGTCAGAGCTTGTCCGCAGTCAAATATCTGGTATTGCAAGGATCACTTTTGCAAGAATCACTGTCAGAAAAAGCAAATCAGAATCAGGCAAAAATCGTTTGCAAAAGCTATTTGTTTATGTAGTTTCATTCCATCTTCAAACAAAATGATCACTATAATCAGGTTCCATCTTCTCAAGGTACACTCCCTTTTATATAAACATAAAATAAAACTATACAACGAATTCAACTGATGAAATTTAAGAAAGCTGGCTCAATTTCATTCGCACGTTGAATATCCTAAATAAATTTCATCTGTAGAATACATAGACGATGCAAAGAACAAGAATGTTATTAAAATTGATTTTTCTATTTGTATCAGTTTAAACTAATCAGGCGAGAAAATCACAGTTCAGCGTCAGACAGAGTGTTTTCACTTCACTAATTCACTCTATTCCCAAAAATAATTAGATTCAAAGAAAACTGGAAACACAAACACATGATTATAATGATTTGCTTGCTTGCTACTGCCAACCAATTAATCAATCGCACACACAAAATGATCTATTGCTCTCAAAATTTAGAAATGAGATGTCGGAAATCATGAATAGACTATGAAATTAACAATTTCCCTTGCATAGATAATAGAGAGAGGGACCGAAAATGTCGTACATGGTGGCGTAAGGTTGTCGATATTGATCTGAATTTGCGAGTAACCGCGAGGGTTTTGAGATGACAATAATGATATATTGGAGAGAGGGAGTAACTACAAAAAATTAGAAGAGAGAATATAAGTTGAGAAATTCAGTTACCTCCTTGAGAATTGAGGTTTTCTTCGTTCACCACCATTTATAATAAACAAGGTTTAGGCTTGGTAGGTTACTTTTACGCAAAAGATGGACCACTAAACAGTAGCCACCTGTCTGTCTGTCATGTAGAATATCACCAACACAACATTGTTAAAATCTTTATTGTTGAAATTGAAAATCTTTCTTCTATTGGGCTTCACCATTTGGGTCTCAAGGCCTTCTCCGCTTGTAAGTGGGTTTGAGTTTTCAAACAAAATTTAACAATCGAATCGAACAGTGCCGGGGTTATTTTAAGTGTAGGATCATCTCTTTTTGTTTTTTTTGGTGATTTTCTATTTAATTATTTTTACTATTTTTAATTTTTTTTAGTAAAAGAGATTTTCATCTCAGAGATAAAATGGTGTTAATTTGAATTAATAAACGACAGAATCAAGAAATTATAGAGGGAACATTGTGCGTCATTAACAGATAGATATATTTGTATCTTAACTCGCAGTCTTTGTTGAAAAACAAGCGATAGTTAGGTGTTTGATTTGTTGCAGGATTAACCATGCACTACTGAAGCCTTGAAAAACATGCATCTATGTAGAATTGTTAACCATCTTTACACCAAAGCTAAAATCCTTGCATTCCCTCAAATTGGGGAAAGAATAAACAAATTTTTTTATGAGATTTCCATTGCAATAATGCTTGGGAGGAACATGATAGCAAGGCTCCGATGAGAAATCATGTTCACAGGATGGAAAACTAGTGTTGTTGTCGATTAGCCTGTAAAGAAGCCATGGCTTCAAATTTCCCAATCCTTGAGCAACATAGCCAAAAGTAGACAGAGAGGTAGTCACCAACTTGTCAGATAAACTCAGCAGGTACATGTCTATCCATGCTTTCATATTATGCTTATTATCACAAGACTTTTGATGCTCTTCGTGACTTGGTTGATAAACTTGTATGACTTCTCCACTAACTGTTTGTTTCTTGAGATACATAGCACGTAAGTTATCTCCATACTCTCGATGTAAAGATGCCACAAGAACTGCCTTTACTCTTTGTTTTTTTCTACCAGAAGAGGCTGAATTTTGCAAATCAACTTCTGGCAATATCTTATGCTTTAATGTGCAGCTTAAAACTAGATCCATAATTGCTTGTTGTGGAGTGGTAGCGGGACTAAATACTCTTATCTGTATGCCTATCCGTTCATCTGCTTTCGCCAAGTGTGCTTGATAGTATTTGCTGATTAGTTCCCATGCCTCATTTGAAGGGTGAAAAAGGTAGCGACCCAACTGGTGAAAAACTATGTCTTTCTCTGGGAACATTTTAGTAATCTCCGGTTTGAAAAATGGGTTCATGAATAGAGAAGGGACAAAGTATTGATCAGACTGAAAAATCAACAGAGGAATCTTCTGAAGAATATCTTGACTATGATCACAATGAAAATATTTCTCAGGGTCAGTGCGAGTGTGTTGTAGATTGATAAACAAAACTGATGGTAAATCCTCCGTGGAATTGGTAGCCTTATCCTTCTCTAGCAAGATCTGATATGTCTCAATATGTTTTTCATCCCAGAAAAGAGACTTCTCAGGCAATACCCAAGTTGAATTGAGAAATGGCTCGCAAAATAGACCATGCTTGTCTTTCCCAAATTTTAGCAGTAGCACTCGATCAGTGAGGATGGCATAAAGAAATGTTGCAACCAAGTCAATCATTTGGTTACCCAAACCATTAGCAGATGTCCAAATAAGGTACTTACACATTGTAGCAACACCTTTGTTCATGGAGTGTTCAATCTTTATCATGCTTTTGCGGTAAGATCTACTATTGGGTCCACACCTTCTATGAATTTCTTCATAGCTACGTAGTTTAGATATCAAATACGGCGAAGGTTTGTGAGGAGAAGCTTTGCGGTATAAGTGGGACTGCATCCTGCTTATGCATGATGCCTCGTCAAATCCAGAGGTTAATAGTCCACCAAGCAGTTTGTCTTTGTCATCAAGATTAACAACATGTGGATTTGAATCATTTGTTGAACTTGTCAATGAATCGGTTTTCAAGCCTGGAAATTTAACTCAAAATATCATAGATTATTTAACAATGAAGAAATGCCAGAGTACTCTACAATTAATCTAGACATTCATGGTATATCGTATTGGTGTTATGTTACAACTCAAAATTCGAGGACATTATAGTCATATAAGAGAAACAAATGTAGATAACCTTTTAGTGCTTTAAAAATGTGTTGGACAAAATTAAAAAAAAAAAAAGTGATGTAAGATAAATTTGAGTATTTAGATTCTTTGTAACTAATATTTATTAAAAAAACTGAAATAAACACAATAATAATGAGATTAAAGGAAAAAAAATGCAATAAATGAAGTTTTTGGCAGCAAAATAGCATTATCAAGCACCACCTTCAGCTGCTGTAATATTTTTAGTTCTTCCTTCTGCAGTGTTTTGATTCTGAGATCTGGCTTGCAGTTCCTTAACCCGACCTAGTTTATTAAGGAAGTCACGTCACTTTATTAAGACCTTATGAAACAAATGGAAGTTGAATGGAAACAGAAGAAAAACTCATGCATATACAACACGAGGTGTTACAGTACTGTTACTTACTGCTGACACTGTTATTATTCCCTTCTCCTCCGAAACTGTCATGTGTTACGTTTTGGACAGTTTCTTCCAATCCAAACCCATGAGTTGAAACGTTTGGTCCACCACTCAACAACTCAGCACCAACATTTTGAGTTGTTCCTCTTTGTTCCTTGCCTTCTGAAAACCGTTCGAAAAGTCCCAAACTAGAGTTTGGGTACATTAAGGTAACGGTGATAACGACAGGGAAAGCTATGAAAAACATTACAAAGAACTTTCTCAGACTCGTGGAGTTCGGTCCCATCTGGTCCATTGCTGCTTCAACCACTTAACGTATGTGGTGCAGAATTATACGAAAGTAACAAAAACCTTTCAAAACTGCCAAAAATACCTGCAACTAGGGGCAACGAGATCAGAAAGCAAAAGTAATGACTTTTTTTTCCGGCTATTGAAGTCAAGAAACATAGTCAAGAACATTAAAACTAAAGTATAAGCCCAGAAATAAATTAGGATTCAGATAAAAATAATGCAGTTCATTGCCACAACTGCAAATAGAACCGAAAGGGTGAAAGAAAAGGATTACCTTGGAGGAAAAAGATTAATGATTTGTAAATGACTCAACCATCATAACCTTCCTTGTTACCTTAAGTTTTTATAATAGATATATACATTATATACATGTTTTATTTGATAGTATATGCATCATGGCCAATTACAGATTTGACATTTCAAATGGTTTATTCTTATTAAGCTGGCATTGTTGCTTTCCTAAATGTTTAGGTGCAATCAAATTCTTATGCATTTCTTACAACCACATTTCACAAAATCTTGCTTTAAAAGTCCACAATCTCATTCTACTCAAATCAAAATTTGATGTGTGCTCTGATGGTATTTTCGTTGACTTTTTAAGGGATTGTGTAACTCACTTTATGTCAATTGTCAAAGAATTAAATACTTCATCTTATCTAACATAATAATATCATGAATCTGACAATATAGAGTCATATGTGTTAGTTTTCCAAATTAATGAAGGATTATATCATGAAATTGTGTTTATTTATGAAAAAAGAGAGTATATATATCTAAATGTGTTTTTTCTTTTTGTGAAAGTATGCATTATTTTAAAAAAATGTAAATATGGAAAAAAATATTATATATTGTTTTAAATATATTATAAATAGTATGATATTGTGATTTATATTGTTAAATAATTAGAATATATTTAATTTTTTATATAAATCATTAGTGTTGATTGATTATGAGATTTTTATATTTTATTTTAATCTACTATTATTTTGAATAAAAATATATATTATGCTATTAGTTTGAATGTTCAAAAATTAACATCATATTGGTTATAATATTTTTTACTTGATGTTGGTATGGATTATTTATTACTGAAAGTAATAATTATTTTATAGTACTATAATATACATTATCATTCAATTTTGCATGACATTTAAATTAAAATAAATTGTAAGATTTTATTAATTGAAATTATTAACATATATTTGTAAAGATTTTAACATAATTATAAAAAATTATTCTAATTTATTGTCTAATATAAAAAAATAGGGTTAAGTATTTTTTTAGTCCCTATACTTTCATGTGAAATTGAAAATAGTCTCTAGTTCACATAAAAATGATTCCTATACTTTTGAAATGATTGAAGTAGGTCCCTATTTTAAACTGTACTCGTCTAACGAAATTGTATGACTCATTCATTATTTGACACGTGTAATTATTTTAAAAAATAAAATTAAAAGGTGTCAAGCTTTTAAAAGTCATTTAAATTCGCATTTATAACATTTAAAAGTCATTTAAAAAAAAAAATTAAACTTCTCTGCCATTTATAAGTCATTTAAACTTCTCTACCTTAATTTTTGGAAATGAAAACCCTAATTATGGTATATCACCGTCGCACACTGTCGTTGTGCACCACCGTCGCACACTGTCGTTGTGCACCACCGTCGCACTGTCAGTCGAACCATAACGAATCGATGGAACCCTCGAACTTTAAAATCACTTTGACTTCATACAACCTTTACAGAGAAAGGGGAAGAAAGAAAATACATTTGGTGTGTGACGAAAAAAAGAAGAAAGAACGAAAATAGTTGTGGTGAGAAAAGAAGAGAGAATGAGAACTGATTGTAACGAGAACTGAAGATCTTTGGTGCGTGAGAAGAAAAGAAAAGTTTCTACTTTTTAATTTTGTTTTTTAAAAAATAATAATCTCCGTTGAATAATTTCTATTTTTTTAAAGAAGAAATTTGTTTTTTTTAATAATTACACGTGTCAAATAATGAATGTGTCATATTATCTCTGTTGGACAGATCACCATATATTTAACACCGTTTAAAATAAGGATCTATTCCAATTATTTCAAAAGTATAGAGATCATTTTTATGAACTGAGGATATTTCAATTTCACTGATGACTAAAAACATACTTAACCAAATATTATTGAAATTTGGAATTATGTTTATTATACATTTATTATGTTAATTGTACTATGCCAATTTCATGAAAATACAGGGACTAAAAACATACTTAACCCAAAAAAATATTATTGAAATTTGTGAATTATGTTTATTATACATTTATTATGTTAATTGTACTATGCCGATTATTTTACAAGTACTGTAGTCATGCAACGCAGGTACTATATGGAACATAATGACCAAAAATAGACTAAGACTCATCCAAAAATATTATAAATAGACGAGAATTCCAAGATATATATGAATTGATTGATGATTACTTCTTCTTATATCTTCAATAATCTAATTAACTTGAACATTATAGTATCTTGTAAGCACTTCACACACCATATTCTAACATATAACGGACACTCGATCATTCATCAAATATCTACACGTCTGGTCTCATAAAAAAAACTACTAATCGACATACTAGAAGATCCCGACCACTGTGGTTATTCAATTAAGGTCACTGTTGGTAAAATAATTGCAAGGTGTGCTTTAAATCTCTAATGAAAATATATTTTCCTTTGCATAAACAAATGATTTTATATATAATATATGTTTGAATTATTAGTTTAATTGAAATCATATATATAATAGTTTTTTTTAATTACTATAACTATGTAATTTTATGAATTAAAAGAAAAATTAATTATTTTGATGGCATTTTAGATTACAACAAGTAATTAATAACGGGTCGGTGGAACATAAATAAATTATTATCTCATTTTTATTTATTTTTCCTTATTTAAAAAAAAAACAGAATTTGAGGACAAAGTATTCTCTGTTTCTTATATAAATATTTGAAAGTTAAAAATACATTAAAACAAGGTGATAATTTCGTGATTAACAAATTAAAACAAAAGCAAATACGTTTATATGAACAATATTTTTACCTTGTAAAATTTAAAATAATAAACTTTCGACAATATTCCTAATCAATGAGCTAATATTTAAGATTTAATCAATTTAAATTTAACCTTCAATTATTGTAAAACATTTTATTTAATCATTCTTTTTTCATCATAACTATTTCTATTAACAATACTTTAACAGGGAAGAAATAAAAGATGAGACTATTGATACTTATATTTGTTAGGAATAAGTCAAAACTGAATCTTAGTTAGTTAAAAACAGGTAGTACTCTTATATGTTAGTTGCTTTCCTTTTTGCTTCTGTACTGTGTACAAATACGTTCATTCATTTCCCATAATATAAGGAATTTCATTCATTCTTCTGTATGTGTGCATAGTTTCTATATGGTATCAAGAGCCAGAACGGTTTAGTGAGGGGTCTTCCAGTCCGTGAGTTGAGAAGTGGTTCTCTTGTTTGTGATTCTGCCAGACTGTGTGTGGTGTGTCAGGGTGTTTTTTTGTGAAGCACGTGTGAAGTTCAAGAAACCTATAGCGATTCTTCAAGAAACGTTCAAAAATCATGGCTGGACTTGGTGGATTCATTCCTGAAGGGTTGCCCATGTTCGATGGAAGTTGTTTTGATGATTGGAAGATCAAAATGCGCGCGGTGTTTGGATTCCAAGATGTGGCCGAAGTGATCGAAGTTGGCGTCGTCGATCCCGGTAGCAAGGCATCAGACGAAGAGAAGAGGAATTACAAACAGATGCAGAAGATGGATAGCAAAACCAGGTATTTGCTATATCAATGTGTGAATTCTGAGATCTTTAACAAAATTTCAATGACTGAAATGGCTAAAGAAATATGGGAGATTCTCATCAAGACTTACGGAGATAGTGACAAGCACAAGCGAGTGAAGTTGCAGGCCCTACGTAGAAGCTTTGATTTCTTGATAATGGAGGACAACGAATCTGTGGCGAGTTACTTCAACAAAGTTCAGAGTGTGGTTAATGCCATGAAAAGCTGTAACAAGACATTGTCTCAAGAACACGTGGTAAACAAGATTCTTCGTTCTTTGCATCCAAAGTTCGATCATCTTATTATCACAATTGAAGAAACAAAGGACATCGACAAGCTGAGTATTCAAGAATTATAGCACTCGTTGGAGGCTCACGAACTACGCATGAGTGATCGCAAATCGTATCAGGAGTTGGTTCTTCAAGCAAGAACTTCATCGAGCCAAAGAAAGATACCAAGAAGGGTCAGGAATCCAAGAAGAAGACTAATCTAGAGTCGAAAGATGGTGAATCGAAGCAGGGCGGGAATGGGAGTAAAGACAAGGTGTTTGGCAAAAAGCGAGTGAAATGCTATAACTGTCAGAAGTATGGCCACTTCGCACGCGATCGCTGGCATGGTGATGGAGCGAAAAACAAACCCAAGTCTCGAGTCCCGTGCAAATCTCGCACAAGAAGAGTCGTCCGATTCTGAAGTCGTCTTACTCATGGTTCGGACCAAGAACGAAGACAATGATGATGACGCATGGTATCTTGATTCCGGTGTTCTACCCATATGACTCGGCCGGAGGGAGTGGTTTGTGAAATTGAGTAATGAGACTCAAGAACGGGTGCGATTTGCATACGACAATCTGTTTGCATGCGTAAGGGAATGGACGGGTCGTGCTAAGAAGCTTCGAAGGAGAAGAAGTTATAGTCGACGACGTCCCGTATGTCCCCGGGTTACGAACCAATTTGTCGAGTCTTGGCCAATTAATGCGTAAAGGGTTCAAGATGGTTCTAGAGGAGAATTCCCTACGGGTCTATGATCAAACAAAGAAGCTTGTCATTTGTGCCGCACTATCATCCAATCGTACGTTTAAGGTAAAAATAACTACGTTAAACCATAAGTGTTTTGCGTACTGCAAGTGAACGGAGAAGAGTGGTTGTGGCACCTACGCTTTGGTCACTTGAACTTCGAAATTTGAGTGAACTGAGCGTTAAAGGAATGGTTGAAGGGATGCCTCACGTGTCTGTGCCAGAAGAAGCGTGTCATGATTGTGTACAATGCAAGCAAACGAAGAGCAAGTTCAGCAAATTTGTTGCCACCAAAACAACGAAGGAGTTAGAACTGGTATATTCTGATATTTGCGGACCATTTCCTGTGGAAACACCTGGGGACAGTCGATACTTTGTGACCTTCATGGACGACTACACCAGGAAGTTGTGGACGTTTTGCCTAAAGCGAAAAAACGAGGTCTTTGACACATTCAGGAGGTTCAAGACTCTCGCTGAAAAACAGAGTGGTTGCATGATACAACGACTACGGTCTCGATGGAGGGGTGAGTACAACTCACCGGAGTTTCAAAACTTCCCGGCTGAAATGGGAATCACACACGAGGTTACACCGCTCACACACCGCAACATAACGGAACCGCCGAGAGGAGAAATAGAACTCTCCTCAACATGGCTCGATGTATGCTCAAAAGTAAAAATGTGCCTATGTATATGTGGGGAGAAGCAATTGCAACAACAACCTATATTCTAAATCGCACACCTACGAAGAGGTTGGAGGGAGTTACACCAGAAGAAGCTCGGTCAAAATGTAAGCCGGATGTCAAGCATCCGAGAGTTTTTGGTTCCCTGTGTTTCCATAAAGTGCCTGAAGTGCAGCGAACCAAATTAGATGACAAAGGAAAGCCTATGGTGATGATTGGTTATCACACTACTGGAGGGTATAAGTTGTTTGACCTCGAAACCAAGAGTGTAACTATCAGCAGAAATGTAGTTTTTGATGAAGCCTCTAGTTGGGAGTGGGAGACGAATAAGGTGAATGAGGCAGTAGAGGTGGTCCCAGTTATTGCGCTAGAACCTGATGATGCAGCAGATTCTGGTGAGATTGAACTCGAAGAAGATGTTCATCAGCTTCGAAGATCCCAAGCATCAAGGACAACAACCAACTCGTTTTAGAGATTATGAAATGTTTGGTATTGTTACTCGAAGAAGGAAACCCAGTGCATTTTGCATTGGCAGCAGAGGCTGAGCCCGTGGAGTTTGAGGATGTTAGTGCGTGATGAAAAATGGAGAAAAGCGATGTGTGAGGAGATAAAGTCCATTGAACGTAATGGAACGTGGAGATTGGTTAATCTTCCACCGCATAAAAGGCCCATAGCACTCGAAGTGGGTATTCAAGGTTAAAGTCAATCCCAAGGGAGAAGTGATAAGGCATAAAGCCAGGTTAGTGGCTAAAGGATATTTGCAAAAGGTCGGGACCGATTTTGGAGAAATATATGCACCCGTTGCTAGGCTTGATTCAATCCGAGTAATTATCGCTATTGCAACATTAAACAAGTGGAGAATGCATCGCCTAGATGTAAAAGCAGACTTTTCTAAATGGGTTGCTTGAAGAGGAGGTATACGTAACTCAACCACCAGGATTTGAGGTTAAGGATGATAAACCGAAAGTTTACAAGTTAATCAAAGCTCTTTATGGCTTGAAGCAAGCCCCACGGGCTTGGAACAAAAGAATTGATCAGCTTTATGCATCAGATTGGCTTTGAAAGATGCACCACGGAGCAAGGATTATACGTGAAGTATTGGATCAACAATGGTCAAGAAGAAAAGTTACGCGTATGCCTTTACGTGGATGACATGCTTGTCACAGGAAGTAAAGCAGAATATATCAATCAGTTCAAACATCACATGACCATTGAGTTTGAAATGAGTGACTTGGGGGAACTCAATTATTTTTTGGGAATTGAGTTCATGCAGACAGATCATGGAATGTTAATGCACCAGGCGAAGTATGCGAAAGACCTGTTGAGCAGGTTCAAGCTTCAAGATTGCAACATAGCAGCCTACACCGATGGAAACAAGGTTGAAGTTGGGAAAGAATGAAGATGAGGAACCCGTGGATGAATCGAATTCAGGAAAATGGTTGGGTGCTTGAGGTATTTGTGTTGTACAAGACCCGACCTAAGTTTTGCAGCTTGGAATAGTGAGTAGATTCATGCAGGAACCTAAACAAACCCACATGAATGCCGTGAAACGTATCATGCGTTATGTGCAAGGGACAAAGAACCTTGGCTTGTCGTTTCCAAATAAAGGGTGCGAAGGAAGTGTTGAATCGAGGGGTACGCAGATGCTCGATTGGTGCGAGATCGATTGATAGGAAGTCCATCGCTGGATACATATTTTTCCTCTCGTGGGTCACCTGTCTCATGGCATTCCATGAAAGAACCTCGTTGTAGCTCTTTCCTCTTGTGAAGCAGTAATACATTTCGCTTCTCAAGCCGCGTGCCAAGCCGCATGGTTAGCAATGCTCTTAGAAGAGTTAAAGGTGAAGATGAATAACTCGTCAAAAATTAATGGTGGACAATAAATCTGCTATAGACTTAGCAAAACATCCTGCCGTATATAGTAATAAAATAATTTTTTTATACTTTAAATTTTAATTTTCAAAATTTTATTTAAATTTTAATCAATTTGATATTTTATAAATAAAATGAGAGAAATGAGTATCACTTGATTAAAAAATGTAAAAATTGCGAATGTCATATATTAAAAGTATAAAAAAGATATAGTATCATTTTATTAAAAACATAAATAAAATTAATATTTATTTTAAATTATGAAAAGTGTGAATATTTTTTAACCTAACTCTTTTAATACTAGTCCTTCAATTCACACTTACTTGATTTGCTTTTAAAAAAACATGCATCCAACTAAAGGCCCCATCATTAGGTGTAAAATGAGAGAGAATGGAGAACCAAACACTCTATCTTGGTAAACAAGATTTACAAATAAATGTAATGTCTGTTTAAGAATCAGACTCAAGATGTGCATATGTGTGTAAGCCAACTGAGACAGTGCAGAACTCATCAGGCTTAAGTTATGGAATAGTTGAGAAAACACAAATATGTAGTTTATAAATTAGTTCCTCAGTAACCTACTTCACACGTTCATCTCATGGCCTCCACGAGATAAGTCCCACCAATGGTGGATATTCATGGTTTTAAAGGACCCATGAAAAGACAAAACAACTCATTTAAGACTACAGTGGTCCTTATTTTGGAATAAAATATCAATTCATCTCAAATTGCATGGTCTAATAATGGTGTACAACCACGTGCCTGATTTGGCATTATAAAATTCAACTTTAAGCAAGTGGAAGCATATGATTCCAAACTTCTTAGGCAAACTAGCAATGTGTTGTGTGGTACCATATTTAGGTATTTAGGACAAACTCATTAAAATAATTTGAGTTTGTCATACATGATTTACATCCTTATCTCCTTGTTCATCTATACGTCTTACATAAGGATAAAATTAGAATTAATACAAGTTTAGAAAATAAATAATACTAATTAATTCCAATGATATTATTATAATAAATATGAGATTGAGATACTCTCGTTTCAAGACGAAATATTGACACTCACCATGAGATCGGTAAAATCTCACTTCACTCATATTCCTTAATTCTCCAAGGGGTAATCTTTTAATACACTTATGAGTTTTACATCACTTAGGAACTAAGACAAGAATAATTTATATACACATCCTTTTACGCTTTTTAAAAATAAATTCGGACACAAAATTCTAAATCTTATAATATATCGAATATGAGAATTAATAGGAAATATGAGATAAAGACGTTTTTATTATCAGGCGAAATAGTTTTAATTATTATGGTAAAACTATTATTTATATTTTGTAAAAATATAACCTAATTAAAATAAGTTGAGTTTATGTATATATTGATTGAAGAGACTCTTATAAAACGTAATGCTATTAAGAAATTTTCTTGATTAACCCCATTTAACGAAAGAATTTTTTTTTGTCAGATGAGCTCTACATAATTAGAAATTTGAATATTTTTGACTTAGAAGTCTTAAAAGGGATTTACAAGTCAAAGACAAAAATGATACAACTACAACTATGTAGTAGTAGTAGTAGTAGTGTCCTTAACCAGCTTCACACCAGAACTAAAATCCTTGCACTTCTTCAAATAGGAAAAAGAAACAAAATCTTTCAAGGACTTTCCATCACAGTAATGCTTGGGAGGAGCATGATAACAAGGCTCTAATGAGAAATCTTGTTCACAGGGTGGAAAATGGGTATTATTACTGACTAGCCTGTGAAGAAACCATGGCTTTAAATTTCCCAAGCCTTGAGCAACATACCCAAAAGTAGAGAGAGAAGTAGTCACCAACACGTCAGATAAACTTAGCAGATACATCTCCATCAAAGCTTTTATATTATGTTTATTATCATTAAACTTTTGTTTCGCTTCATGACTTGGCTGATAAACTTCTATGAATTCACCACTAGCAGTTGGTTTCTTTAGATACATCCTCCTCAAATTATCTCCATATTCTTGATATAAAGATGCCACAAGAACTGCCTTAACAGTTTTATTTTTTCCAACCCAAGACAATGAAGTTTGCAAATCCACTGTTGGTAGTATCTTATGATTTAATGTGCAGCTTAAAACTAGATTCATAATTGCTTGTTGTGGAGTGGTAGTGGGACTAAATACTCTTATCTGTAAGCCTATCCGTTCATCTGCTTTCGCCAAGTGTGCTTGATAGTATTTGCTGATTAGTTCCCATGGCTCATTTGAAGGTTGAAAAAGGTAGCGACCCAAATGGTGGAAAATTGTGTCTTTCTCTGGAAACATTTTGTTAATCTCCACGTTGAAAAATGGGTTCATGAATAGAGAAGGGACAAAGTATTGATCAGACATCAAGATCAACAAAGGAATCTTACTGAGAAGATCTTGACTATGGTCACAGTGAAAGAAGTTCTCAGGGTAATCGTAGGTGTATTGTAGATTGATAAACAGAACTGATGGTAAATTCATCTTTGAATTGCTGCCCTTATCCGTCTGGAGCAAGATCTGATATGTTGGAATATGATGTTCATTCCCGAGAGGAGATTTCTCTGGTAATATCCAAGTTGAATTGAGAAACGGCTCGCAAAACAGGTCATGCTTGTCTTTCCCAAATTTTACAAGTAGCACTCGATCAGTGAGGATGGCATAAAGAAATGTTGCAGCAAGGCTAATCATTTGGTTTCCCAAACCATTAACAGGTTTCCAAATAAGGTACTTACACGTTGCAGCAGTACCACTGTTCTTGGGGCCTACAATTTTTCTCATGCTTCTTTCATATGCTCTTGTTGTAGGTCCACACCTTCTATGAATTTCTTCGTAGTCACGTAGTTTAGATATCAAATATGGAGAAGGTTTGTGAGGAGAAACTTTGCGGTACAAGTGGGATTGCACCCTGCTTATGCAAGATGCTTCATCAAATCCAGTGGTTAAAAGTCCACCAAGTAGTTTGGCTTTGTTATCGAGATTAACATTTGTTCTTGTTGAAATTGTCAAAGAACCATTTTTCAAACCTGCGAATAATACAAGTGCTTGTTTGTAATTTGTGTATAGTGTTCAGTCACCCTCCTCATAAACTCAGAAAACAACTTTTCAATGACTAATGGCCAATCATTTAACTCGTTAACCTATATATAGTAATGGGTGCTTCCTATAAATTGATTGATAAGATAATAAAATGATATTCAAAATTATAAATAATTAATTAAGCGAGTTTCAACATTGTAATAATTAGTTACATTAGTCACTGAAATTTAGAAATATAGACAAAATATATTTATAAATTGTAAATTAAATGTATCACGCACCAGCATCTGCTTCAGTGATATTCTTAGTTCTTCCTTCAGTAGCTGAATGTTTTTGAGAGTTTCCTTGCAGGTCCTCAACTCCACCTAGATCATTAAGGAAGTAACGTCACTTTTGGTCCTTGTGAAACAAACAAATGAGGTTGAATGGAAATATTGCAAGAAAAACTCATTCATACAATACAAGGTGTTACAGCACTGTTAATTACTTACTCCTAACGCTGTTATTATTCCCTTCTTTTCCTCCTAAGCTGTCATGTGTTACGCTTTGGACTGTGCCACTTCCACCCAATTCAGATCCATGAGTTGTAACCTTTGGCTCACTAGCCAAAAACTCAGAAGTAACGCTCGGAGCTGCTCCTGTTTGTACCTTACCTTCTGAGTGAAAATAGTTAGAAAACTAATGCATACAATACAAGGGTGCTACACTGTCTCAAGAAATATATGCTAGCTATTCTGCTCATTGTAAAAATATCATCCATACATATGCTACACACACCTACTCTTAATGTTATAGCCCTGTCTTCTGCAGCTGTACCATTTTCAAAATTTTCCGGCAACACCTTAACCTTGCAAAGTCCATAGCAGAAGTAGAAAAACAGTCAGAAAAACGAAACCATTATATGCTAATAATTAAAGGGTTTCTATACATTGTCACCTACCACCGACACAGTATTATTGTATGTTCCTCTTAAGTTGTCATCTGATATATTGTGGACTCTTTCTCCCAATTGAGAACCAACGGTTGTAACGTCTTGAACTGATTCTCCTGGGCCTTGGGAAAACCCCTCAAAAACAGCCAAAGTCGAGTTTCGGTACATTGAAGAAACTATGACAGCAACAGGAAATGATATGAAAAGCACAACAAAGAATGTTGTAAATCTCTTGGAACTGACGCTCATGCTGTCGGCTTTGGCTTGGAAGATTTCCATGATTGAGGAGACTTTAAAGGGAGAATAGTAATATTTCTTAAGGAGTTAAAGTTGCGATGAAAATGGAGGGATGAGAAAGACTACTATGACATGAGAAACGAGAATGAAGAGAAGAAACATAGCATTCTTGTAAGCATTCTTAATAAAACAAAAAGCCGGCCTTCAAAACCAACCAAACCATGTGGATAGAGTTTGTTGTTTCTGTTTCTTATAACACTTTCTCTTACGAAATTTAAGGGGGCATGGAAGAAAAGTTAAGTATTTTTTTATTTTTTTCTATGTCAATTATTGAAGTTGGAGGCATGAATGCATGAAGGATTGGTCACTGTCATGTGAGCAATGAACGATAAACTCACCATTCATGTGAGCAATGAACGATGGTATTTTCATTTTGTTTTGATTTGAAAGATGAAAAGACAGCCACATGGAAGTAGAAAGATAATCACTTCCTTCTTTTGATTGGTATCGCTATAACCAAGAAGTCACAGTTGACTGAAGAAAGAGATGGATTAAAAAAATGAGTGCAGTTGGCGGTGATGATGAAGAAGAAATTCAATGGAGATGGAGATTGTGAACAAAAGGGACACCCTAGTAGAGACAAGACCATTGCTATTGCCAAGAACACCATCAAAACACATCATGTGATGTGCATATCTTTTAATTAATAAACAATGTGGAATGAAAATCGTAACTTAAACGTTCATCTGGAAACTTGACCAGGTTTCATTTCCCTTCCCCAATGAGACAGAGACATTAAAGAAAATGTTGCTCCAAATAATCTCTGTAATCTTAATTTAATTCATATTTCTCAACATTCAATAATTGAATCAATGTGAAAGCAATGTGCTTAGCCCCACTTGAAACCTTACTCTAAACAGATTTTCCTAAACTCGCTGCAACGCTATAATTAGTGGTGTTAATTGATCCATATATCTTCACACTGTTAACGTTGAATAAAGACAGAAAAAAAACAGAAGAAGAGAAAAGAGGAGATTGGAGCAACCACGAAATTAAAAGAAAATGATATAAATATAATTAGTAACTAGTAGTACATATATTGTATTAGATTATGGGGTTCTAAACCATTTACACAAGACAAAATCCCCATGCTTCTTTCCCTATCAAGAGAAAATTTAATTTTTTTGTCCATAGCCATCATAAAAAATAATGAAATTGAACTATAGGTTTCAAAGTTATGAAATAATAGTAAGATGCCCTAAATATTAATTAATTATACAAGTTAGTTTAAATTTATACTGTCATTTATTTACGATATATTTATTATTATAAAGTATAATAACATTAATTTAATATTAAAATCGGACAGTTACAATTACAATCAAGAAGATTAAATTCTTGAGTTATGTTTGGAAGATTAAAATGCAATCACTTCAACCTTGAAAACATATTTGGGTACTTTATTCATTTTCATTTTACTCTTCATGCTATATAATTATTTGGTAATTATTTTTTAATCTTTCTTTTTTTAAAATAATGAAATTCAACGAGACTTAGTTTTTTTTTGTCTGAAAGGATAATAATACATAATGTTTAAAATTAAAAGCAAGTACCAGGTTGCGAAGTCTGGTCCTTTTTTTAGATACACAAATTACAAATAATGACATTATTTAATTTGATATTAATTTTTACCAAAAATAGCAGCGTATAAATGTGGCGGGAGACCCATGTAACTGCCGTAACGGTCAAAGGTTGTTCCAAACCAATCCCTTTTTTCCCTCTAATTTCATCTCTTCTCATTCCTCCACACACCCCAATATACCATAACTTTGTAGAATCAAAGCCTTCCACATTATCAAAGTAAGTTCATTCAGACCCAGATTTTTCTGTTATCCAATTTTGCATTTTCATGAATTGGAAAAGTAGTTATATTTCAACTGTGGAAGTCAAAAGGGAGGGGCTGCTCGAAATGGACAACCCTGCATATTATCATGTCTTTGTTTAGATTTGGGAATGGAATTGATCAAAACCATAATTCTTAGAGTTGTTGATTTACATGGTTTATAAAAGCGTTTCCTTGCTGCGTTTTTATCATTGTCATTGTTTCCAAAGCATTACCTTCCTTTGGATTTCGTATTTTAGAGATTATATGAACAAAACAAAATTTCTGACATCGCTGTGATTATCTGCATTGTATGAAATAGAACATTAAACTTTCTCTTATCTCAGGAAACTGCTACTTATATTTGGTATTCCTGGTTGTCTCTATGTAATTTCTTCAAAATGTTTGACTCTGGTTACAAGTCACAATATATTGGAGGCCAGAAGGAGAAGTTCGTGAGGTATAAAATAAAAAAGCACATTTATTTTACTGTTCCATGTGTAATTGAATGTAATATGTTCAATATGATGATGTCAGAGTTCAAAGCTTGCTATGTTATATTATTCCATGTATTTCACTGTTATATTAATTCCATTTCGATTAATAATCATTGTGTTGTGCAGCGTGCACCCAAAGGCTAAGTTTTTAACATTAGTGTCTCTGAATCTGACGTAAAGTGGATGATGTAGGTTGGATGACCTGGACTCGACTTTGTCACCATCAAGCTCAAGTGGGATGAAAAAATTAAGATTCAACTTAGATTCTTTGCCATTTCCTGGTCGTGGAAAAAAAAAAGCATCGAAATCGTTTAAGCAAGGAGTGAAGAAGAGTTCAGATGGACTAAAAACATTTGGAAGATCACTCAAGACTGGAGTGACTACTTGGGCAGTGTTTCCTGAAGATCTTAAAGTTTCAGAGAAAAAAGTATTTGACCCTCAAGACAAGAACCTTGTGTATTGGAACAAGTTTTTTGAGATTCTATGCATTTTTTCTGTGGCTTGTGATCCCTTCTTCTTTTATCTTCCTTATTTCAACCACAAGTCATTTTGCCTCGCCATAGATAGCAAGCTAGCAAGTTTTGCTGTCACATTGAGAACAATATGCGACGCCATTTATCTCATCCGAATAAGTTTTCAGTTCCGCACTGCTTACATTGCGCCATCCTCTCGGGTATTTGGACGAGGTGAACTTGTCATAGATCCTACAAAAATTGCCAAGAGATATTTACGACGTTACTTCATCGTTGACTTCATTTCTGTGCTGCCTCTACCACAGGTTTGAGAAAGAAGCTTGCATTACTGATATATATTAACGAAAGGTTTTGCTGGTATCATTAATAAACAGAAAATACTAGGATTCATCCACTTCTATTTTATCCCACAAGAAGATTGTCTGTAGTAGTTTTCATCAACTACCAAGAATCCTAAAAATTGTTAATGCCTACTAATTTCGACATATAATGTCAATGAAATAAATTATGAATTAAGATATATTTGGAAAACTTTAGTCCAGGTCCAGTTATTTTCTTCATGTTTGGTGCAGATTATAGTGTGGAAATATCTTTACAGACCAGGACGTGTAGAGGTATTGGAAACAAAAACGGCACTGCTGAGAATTGTGATCCTGCAATATTTTCCAAGATTTATACGCTTTTTACCTTTAGCTTCAGAAGTGAAAAAGACAGCTGGTGTTTTTTCTGAGAACGCATTGCTTGGGGCCATGTACTATTTGATCTGGTATATGCTTGCTAGTCATGTAAGTGCATGTTATGAAACAATCCTTCTCTTCTAGTTCACCTTTGCGACTCAACATGTACAATACATGAACTTGATTATAGGTGGCATGTCCTGGACTTCTAAGTCCTAGATATATATAGCAAACTAGACCGTCTCCATTTATTTTGACCATACAGGCTAATCAACTCATGTTTGAAGGGAATTTATTAATATCTGAATTCTGACAATTCTCCAATGTCACAGATAACTGGTTCTTGCTGGTACTTACTCGCCATTGAACGTAATGACACCTGCTGGCATAATGCTTGTAAAGCAGTTGAAGGGTGCAATCCACATTTCTTGTACTGTGCGAATTCGAACAAGCGTATGGCAGGGTATGATAGTTGGAGAAATGTCAGCGAAACTGTTCTGAAAACTCATTGCTATGTGGAGGATGATAGCTCAGAATTTAGCTATGGGATCTTCTCTCAAGCCATAGAGTCCAATATTGTTGCTTCCATAGAAGTTTTTCCAAAATTCTGTTATTGTTTATGGTGGGGCCTTCAAAACTTGAGGTATATTCCACGTTTCAACTATTGCAGTTGTTAATGTTCCATAAGTTGCTGCAAAATTGTATTTTTATGCTTAATTTATGCCTGCACCAACCACTCGTGCTTTCACTAAGATAAAATTGCTAGTTTCAAAATTTTCCAAGCCTAAAGCACCTCCTGTTTTGCGTTCCACAGTACTCTTGGTCAGGGCCTTCTAACCAGTACATACCCTGGAGAGGTTATGTTTTCCATAGTAATAGCTATTATGGGCCTTATCCTTTTTGCTCTTCTGATTGGAAACATGCAGGTAAACAAAATTTGCAGTATAGGTATTGATATATCAATGATTATCCATGTCTTGATTAAAAAAAGACTTAAAGAGTCAGTTACTATCATGGTTCTAATCTTTGTGCTATCATGCAACTGGACAGACCTACCTTCAATCAATGTCAGTTCGTCTTGAGGAAATGAGGATCAAAAGACGCGACTCTGAGCAATGGATGCATCATCGTTTGCTTCCTCCAGAGCTAAGGGAAAGAGTGAGACGCTATGACCAATACAAGTGGCTGAACACCCGTGGCGTAGATGAAGAAAGCTTAGTTCAGAGTCTTCCAAAAGATCTCAGGAGAGATATCAAACGGCATCTTTGTTTGAATTTAGTCAGAAGGGTGAGTTGGTACTGAGTATACAAGCCTGTTCTTGAGATTTAAGTCTTCATTTGCTCGTAAGTCTAGTGATGATGATGCCATGTTTTCTCATTCAGGTTCCTCTCTTTGCCAACATGGATGAACGTTTGCTTGATGCTATATGTGAGCGATTGAAGCCCAGTTTATATACAGAGGGAACTTACATAGTGAGGGAAGGGGACCCAGTTAATGAGATGCACTTCATCATACGTGGGCGTCTAGAGAGTGTCACCACTGATGGTGGAAGAAGTGGATTTTTCAACAGAGGTCTTCTGAAGGAAGCTGACTTCTGTGGAGAAGAGCTACTAACATGGGCATTGGATCCCAAATCTGCTGCTAACTTGCCATCATCAACAAGGACGGTGAAGGCTATAAATGAGGTGGAGGCATTTGCTTTGGAAGCAGAGGAGTTGAAGTTTGTTGCATCCCAGTTTAGGCACATCCACAGCAGACAGGTTCAGCACACTTTCCGTTTCTATTCACAGCAATGGAGAACATGGGCTGCTATCTACATTCAAGCTGCATGGAGGAGGCATTGCAGGAGGAAGATTGCAGAACAGCGCAGGAGGGAGGAAGAAGAATTATATGACTCAGATTATGATAACTCTGATGATCCTGCAAGAGCCTTGGTCAAGCATCCTGAACCTGCTTTTACTTCTTCTAGCCTTGGACTTGGTACAACCGTTTATGCTTCTCGCTTCGCTGCAAATGCACTTCGTGGTCATAGGCTTCGTGCTTCAAGTTCCAGGGACATAATCAAACTCCAAAAGCCCCCAGAACCTGACTTCAGTGCTCGTGATGAAAACTGATCCTCCACCCCTTGGTGGTTCAATCTGACTAGCAAGATATGCACTAGCCAGCTGATATCACTAACAGTGTTAGTTTATTTAGTTTGAGTAACCTAGAACATGAGTCTAGGTTTGTTTAATTTCTACAGTGTTTGTTTAGATATAATAACATATAATTGCACGCCATTTTGCACAAGTCTGCAGGCTTGCTAGTAGTGGCTGTCATGTTATGTCTGTAAATTTCAAAATATTTACCTGTCAGCATACCGTACACAATGTACAAGATGTGCAAATGATTATACTGTGCGTGGAATGTTACTTCTCACAACCATTATCATGTTTAGTAACTTCCAAGACAGAGCTTAAAATATGACTCACGTGAATTCTTCTTGTCTCCTGCACCAAGCAAGGTAAATTATCTTTGTATTTGTGATGCAACATTCCGATCAAACACAATAAGTTGCGTAGTCGAAGGATGCAACAAGATTAAACAAAATATTGCAGAGCCCTCTCCCATTGACATGGTGAATGGCCACAATTGACATGTTAAAACTGAGTTTGCAAAGTCCTCACATTTCTTTGCCATGTGTAATATCTGTTTCAAATTGAAAGGGAAGAATGGGAAAATATTACATTAAGGAAATATTACAAAATAAAGATTATAATTCGTTCAGCAGATGTCTTCCTTGAATATAAATGAGCACATTCAACGACCACTCATGCGGGCACAATAAAACAGAATCTCTTCTAACAGGGCATTATTCAATTCCGCCAGGCAGAAGATACTTCTGAATCAAAATCTTCTTCCCACCACGTGCTTGCCTGCAATATCAAAAAAGAATGAAAGTGATAGATCATAATTTATAGCTAAACTAGAGACAGACAAATAAGATATATGATCTAATAATAACCCACTGTACTGAGTCAACTCAATGATCAAACAAAACATTATGAGAATGTGTTGTATAAATATTTAAGAGGTGATTACATATGCATGTTAGAATAATAAAATTAAAAATAACATTACATAAAACCACCAGAAGTTGTTAAATGTGTCTGCCCTTAGATTTTATTTTGAATGCAGATCTATTTTATACTAGAACCATTGTTATTTTCATACTAACAGATAGAACAAAATATGAAGGCAAATGGAACCTGCGCTGCCTCAACTTTCTGTACAGTCTATAAAGAATTGAAACTTCATTTTGGTTCTTATAAGGGGTGAGCAGGTTTTGAAAATCTAAAAATGTAAAAAGGAAAATGGACTTTTGGGTGGGTTTGAGCAGGTTTTCAGAGTTAAACAGCTAGAAAAAATAGTTTATTACAGTTTACATGAACAGGTTTGATTTTAATTTTTTTTTTTTTGTCCAAAACGGTAAGTCCATGATTCATAATTGGCAGATGTATTGTGTGACGAAATTGGAAAGATTGAGGACTGTAATGCATACATTGGCACATGATTTAATACATATTAAAAGTAAACAAAAAGTGGATTTACATTTAGCACATTTCTCTCTCCCATTTAAAATCTCACATATAGCAGAAATTATCACTTCTATTAATCTAAGCTCCATCTTTTCTCTTGTCATGTACTCTCTCCTACTACACTCATTCTCACTTTTCACATATTTATAATATATGAAACTTCCCCTTCATGATGCAACTCTCCTCTACTTTCTCTTTATTTCTTTTTGTTCCATTTTTTTTGTCGGTCTTTTACTGATTTTATGTTTTGGGTGTTAAAAGTGAAGACAATACCTCCCATGCTCAACTCGCAAATATCCACCCAACACACGACATATGTGGTATCTTGGAACAAACGGAATCGAACTAAGTTATTCTTTTCGGCAGGTTTGCTTCAGATCTATGTTTTCTTGCCTAAAATTGTCATAGACCCACACCGATGCTCACCCCTAGTTCTTATGTAAGACAGAAACATTATAAAGGATGAAGTGTAGGATCAGAGGATTATGCAAATTTTACCAAGGACAGAATAACACTACCACACAAGACAGAAGCATGCATATAGTTCACAGAAACTGATTAACACCTTGTAGCCTCTCCGAAGAAATTCTAGAGAGCTTCCCTCTTCTTCTTGAAGTCCCAAGACTCTCAACAACTCCTCTTTGGCCTATATCAGTCAATGGATTAATATGAAACTATTTACATCTAATAAGATTATGAGGCTAATTATTTACAATTAATAAGTGAAGGATGTCAAGATTATAATGATATTACCTCGCCAAGGCTAAAGCGGGTAGCACTTTCTGCTATGCAAGCAAAAGAACCATCTGCTTGTTTAATCATCACCTGCCAAGGACCTGAACAGTTTATGAAGAAACAAATTAGTGCATCATCCATATCAGGAGATAAAAGTATGCTAGTCATACAATAAGAATCAAATATAAATTAAAATATGTATGGTATTGACTGCTGGCTAAACACAGTTTGTGCCAACTACTATACATGGACCTTCTTTGAAGGAAGGAGGAGGGGACGCAGTTTGATGGATAGCATGGACAAAAAAGCTAGATACTGATTTCCCAACAAGTGTTTTAAGTGTTTCTCTCCAAGGGAACACAATTAGCCCCAATAATCAAGTGTTAATGTTCAAAGACTAATGGAAAATAAAAAGAACAATTAATGTGGTTTCTGAGAAAAAAATTGTCCCAAGCAACAAAGAAAAGAAAGTAATCACAATAAAAAATATATAAAATAAAATTAATATTGTTACTTGTTACATAAAGTAAAGGTATAAATTATAGAGTATTAGTTTATCATATTTCTTTCACAAAAGTAGTGCATTGCATTTCTATTTTAGTTTTGATTAACCTCAATATTTATTTTAGATAATATGTGATCGCAGATTAATAGATTGAAAAAACTATGATCTTGACTTGCATGAGTGGGGTGCATGTGAGTGTTTGTTCATGCATATATAGTTGCACCTGGGTACTGGCGGAACACAGCTCCACCATAATTGACAATATAAGGTGCTACTGCAACTGTCTTAAAAACAGAAAGAGGAAACGGTCAATGACTATTATTTCATAAAAAGACCAATTTCTGGAGATAATTCAAAAGAAGTGGTACCTTTGAATACTCCCGGATTCGGATGTAGAAGACTGGAATGAATTGAGAAAGAAAGCGGTAGTGCAACTCTTTGGCAGGGAAGCCTGGAAGGCCTAAATCAGCACTGTAAATTCAACAATTATTCTCTGTCAAACATAAGTATATGAAATAGTTAATTACTTACGAATGTATGAAAACTCAATCAGGAAAAAAACAAAAGCATTGCAACGCATACCGTAGAGTGTCTAGTTCAAGATTAAATAGAACTGTAGGTGTTGATGTAGCAATTTTTTCCTGCAAAACCCAAGGAGCAATATTGGAAGATATACATCAAACTAAAGCATCTAGGCAAATCCAGTGTGCAAAATAAATTCCTTTAAATTGGAGATAGTTACATATAGTAAGAATTAAAAATCACTCACACAGTTAGTCAACAAAGGGCATCAAAAACCAGAAGCTAGATCAAGTTTCACCATCTAAGGTTTTGCTACTGGAAGATATATTAGAAGCTAAACTCTGTATGATGCAAAATATTTCACATTGACCAAAAATCAGATGAAAGAACTCAAATCAACGTATAATTATTGCATATTATTGATCACCAATGAAAAAAATAACTAAATATTTCTAATTAAACAAGCCAAAACCAACAAAAATAGCAAATACAGATAAGAGTGAAATTTAATTAGCACATCGAAGATTTGAAAGGGAAGAAAAAAAGTTTCAGGAAACCATCTAATGGCAGAAACACCATACCACATACTTCTCTATATATGCAAGTTCACGTGTACTGCAGTTAAGGAATATGTAGATTGATGGAGGTTCACTAGATTGCCAACGACCTGCATTTTAAGAAAGAAAATTGTCAAAACAGTATTATTTTATCATGATCATGATTTACAAAGCAATACTGCCTTACCAATAAATGTCCCAAGAATAATTTGATAAATTGGTATCCCTAGGTTTATCTTACATGGTATCGAGGAAAACATTATTACTTAGAAAGCTATGGCAATGCCATTTCCCCCAAGAACTAACCTTCATTTTCATCTTCGAAGTCAAAATCAAGGGTATTCCTGACGGATCTGAAAAATGAAGTCACAGGTCCAGCTGGGACATCATCTAAGGAACCTACAGTAACCCCATCAATCTGGAAGAAAAGTATGGTGTGATCTTTAGGTGGCATGGTTTTAGAAAAACGTCGAGTTGAATGTGAATTGGGTCATTAGACAGATGGGAAATAAATTCACAATGAGTAATTTTTTCATTACTGAATCTAGAGCTGTTTTGAACAATTGAGAGGCTCGGCGCTTTTCTGGTTTATCAGGGAATACCTACAAGGAGGAACAAATGTAGTAACACTTTGAAAATATAGTAAAATATATTAATGAATTTCTTTTGAAGGGAAGAAAAGAATGTGTCTTCTTACTATGCAAGCTCTGGTTTCCTTTTTGTCCTGGAGCTTTCTTACAAAAGCCAAGGCAAGTTGAATGTTGGCATCAATGAACTCATCTGAAGATCCCTTGAAATATTTAGGAATTTGAGAAAATTATGTGCAATTTATTCAGATAAGCATGTCCCACATAGAAAGTGTGGGATTTATAAGGCCTTAGGTTCTCAAACTACAACGGCTACAATTTGTGGTGTGGTTCAGCCAAGGTTCTTATCATACACCTAACTAGATGATAAAATGAAAGAAGAACAAGTGGCAATGGTTAGTGATGACGAGAGCACTGCAAAGAATAGTAGTACCTTATAGGAAGATATGTTGCTAGGCAAAGGCCTGCATACAAAAAAGGCCAAATGACAATTCAGGAAAACACATCCAAAACATAGTTGTTGCCTATTAAGCCATAAAAGGTTGAGGTATTTGGAAAATGTGGTTCAATGCAAGAGAAAGAGAATGTGTACGGGAAATCGATTTCGAGGCGAATTTTTCCTTCTTCAAGAGCAAAAGCGAGGGAATTGGCAGCATCGTCAACAAGAACTTGGTAGGATTTAGGTTTGTACAGGGAAACACCGGCCTTAGGATCGGAGGGTGCACCTTCTGTTCCAACTCCAAGGCTGCGGATTTTTGCAACGAGCCTGAGTGGGAGGCTTGGGAGGGGTTGAGGGCATGCAGAAGAAGATGGGAGAATGAGAGAAAGAGGTTGAAGTTGGCGTGGGCGAAGGAAAGTGAGGTTGTAAGATGAAACCATTGAAATGGCCATCGTTGCTCTCTTCACACTCCCTCCAACTCGCTAACACGGCAACACTTACTTTCCGATGTTGGATAGGATTATTGATTACGTGTCCCTTTAATAATCTCACTCTCGTTTATTGGGAATTATCAATTGGGCCGACTCTTGATTGGGCCGCCCAATTCAGTCGGCCTTTAAGTTGGATGGGCCACCACTACGAGTGACAAGGATGCAAGTAAAATTAAACAAAAACAATTCAATTTTTTTTTCTGTCATAAAAGTTAATTTCTTGTAACTAAAGTAATCAAGCAACAAATAAATAAATAAATTATCCAATCAATAAACATTAAATAATTTGTTTTAATAACTTAATTTAATCTAAAAAAAAATGTTAGAGGACCGTTATCAAAATGAAAGTTATAATCACGAGACGTTATTAATAACGTTCGTTGTCGCAACTCCAGATGGACAGCATGATATCCACACAAAAACAAAAGATGCCCAAACAAACAGATGATGAATGGACGTTTGAGATTTGTTAGAGAGCGTAACGTACGATGCCGAGATTTCAATAAGAACCAACCCTCTTCCCTCTTCCTAATTTTAGTTCTACTGTCTAATCCCTTAGTTTTTTTGTTCCTTTTTTTTTTGTCTGAAAAAAAGACAAAATGGTTGTAGCTATGAGTGTTGGTCTTCACTTCAGTGTTGCTCATAGTAGCTTGAGAGCTTTGGAGAAAACAATTTGCAGCGCTCCTTTCTTGAGGGCCTCCTCTGGGTTTGCTGCTACTAAACCATTTCGCATCCTTAGCGGCAGAAGGTATGCTTCATACTGAATCATTACATTAAAGTTTCTATTGATGATTATCAATGTTCGTGTTTTTCTTTTTCTTTTTTTTCTTTATAATGCTTCAGTATACTATTTTCTTAATTCAATTTACGTCGCCTAGACTTTCTGATTAAAAAGAAAAAGATCGATCAAGTGGAACTTGCTCTGTGTATGGTTCCTTTGCTTGGACATGTTTATTCAGGAAAGTAATTTTTTTCTTCTCGTGTTTTTAGTTTGTGTATTTTCTGAATTGTGTGTAGAAGTAGAGCACTTGGAGGACTATGTTGAGTGTTTTCTGACTAATATTCACTTCTACAGTGTCTCAAAATACTTTTGCGCCCTTGTCTTTTTTTCTGAAAGGAAAATAAAATTTAAAATTTGTAAGTGAGTAGGACTGTACCACGATGATGTGCGTACATTCGATGTGTTAATTGTATGTACACTTTTGTCAGATTGACATCTTCTGGGACTACAATTATCCCTCGAGCAGCACCTGTTACTGATGTGGAGGTATTTAGCTTAATCAGCCTGTATGATTGCCCCTAATTGCATGTGAACAGCCAAAACTTTATTCTTCTAATGCTTGCTGATTGTGATCACAGATTAATAACAGATTTGCTTTCAATTTGTTTTATGTGAAGAACAGGATGCAAATCAAGGCGAGACTGAGACCATTCCAACTCCCATAGTTATAATTGACCAAGACTCTGATCCAGATGCAACCGTGGTGGAGATAACTTTTGGTGATCGGCTTGGGGCACTTCTTGACACAGTAAGTCAATCTCTTTGTAAATCTTAGATTGTGTTCACGTATCTAATGTTTTTCCTTTTTACTTTTGGATATATGGTTTTATAATTTCAATACAGAAATTATGTGGGTAAGTAATGTCTCATTGTGTAATTCTATTACTGTTGTTTTATTTCGTGGAAAAATGTTTGATAGTGTTCATTAATAAAATAAAAAGGATTTCAAAAACCAACTCTCTACTTGGGTTGCAGATGAATGCATTAAAAAACTTAGGTCTCAATGTTGTTAAGGCAAATGTCTTTCTGGATTCATCTGGCAAGCACAACAAGTTTTCCATCACAAAAGCGTAAGTGTTACACATTATGTATGTCACTGTTATACTGCTTTTGTTGCCCCAGTATTGATCTTCCTGTGTTACTACTATTGATGCATGCTAAATGGTAGAAGTTATTGAAAAGAGGTGGGTGTGTTGGGCATTAAAAAATAAATTCCTTTCTCTGTAAACGCAAAATAAGCACTATGCGGAAGAAAAAACTAAGAGTGGAGAAAAAGAATAGCACCAATAGTTTTAACATATGGAAAACCTCCATTCACTATGTGAGCAAGGAAAACCACAGGATCTAATCTTGTGAAAGATTTATGCTATGAAAGTAGGAATACAAGTAGTCTCTCATTGTAACTTGGGTTCAATTTCACTTTTTAAAGAGCAATTATCTTGGATCCAGTTTTGAGCTAGTATCTAATAGTAATTCATTGGATATGCTTGTGGAAATTTGTTTGCAGTGATACTGGCAGAAAAGTGGAAGATCCAGAGTTGTTAGAGGCAATTCGTTTGACAATTATAAATAATCTTATTCAATACCATCCGGTAAGCTTCCCAACTATCCTATTTTTCATTGGAGCTTAATTTGGTTAGAAGACAAGGCAGTTCTCTGCTAATTGGAGTTTTGAAACTGGTGGTCCAGGAGTCAAGTTCCCTCTTAGCATTGGGAGCAGCTTTTGGACTTTTGCCTCCAAAAGAGCAGGTGATGAATACCTACACTTTTCAGTTTCAGTTGTAAAATATGAATACATAAAAAAAATTGTAAATTATGATTCTTTTTTCACGCCTTGTGAGTTGCAGACAAGTTTTTATTTATATATGAATGCTATAAAAACCAAGAGCAGACACGTTTTTCTTTATATATCAATGCTATAAAAGCCCAAGAGCGTGGGGTACATGTTAGGACTTAAACAAATGAGGAGAGTTCAACCCAAATTAGCCCATTTGGTAGGAGAATCTCTACACTTAAGTACCACGTCAAGTAGTTTATCTTACACAATGTGGGACTTCTAACAGTAACTGCTGCTTTGTGTTGTTTGGCATGCAATGAGTTAAGCATGTTTGGTTTCTCCTAACAGTAACCTTCATCAAGTAGTGATTATTTTCTGATTTCTAATAGGGCTTTCTATTAACCCATACACAGGAAGAGAAAGATAGAGTATGTATGAGAAAGCTTTGATGTTAAATCGTGATACATCTCTGTAAAACTTATTAAAATGCATCATGTATTCATGTTATAACTAATTGTCTGACTATATTGGTCCTCTACAATCTTGTTTATACTTTGTTAATATCTGTCAGGTTGATGTAGACATAGCAACCCACATAAACATTTCTGATGAGGGCCCAGATCGAAGGTGATACATTTATTTAATTCTTCCTTCACACCAATATTATAAATCCTAATTGAAAGAAAACAAATTCCTGGTTGAAATTACACTTTCCAATACTTGAGGCTTTAGAAAAGCATGTTCAGTTCAACTAGATTTTGCATTAGCAATACATGGATGTAATTAGTTACTTGTTTTTCATTTTGCAGTTTGCTGTATGTTGAGACTGCTGACCGGCCTGGATTATTGGTTGATCTTGTAAAAATTATTACTGACATAAACATTGATGTTGAATCAGGAGAATTTGACACTGAGGTATGTATGTATAAATCATTATCCAAAATATGCAAATTGATTTTTCTGACAGCCATAATAAATGAATGTATGAACTTAATAATTGGACCCCCAAAAAAAAGGAATTCCCAGGCTGATAAAAGGCTGTCATTTACATTAACCTAGGGGCTCTTGGCTAAGGCAAAGTTTCATGTCAGCTACAATGGTAAAGCTATCATCAAGCCTCTGCAGCAGGTAACCTTAATCCTGTAACGACTGATAAAACTCAAAATGGCATCATACATTGAAGTGGCCATGCAAATAGGTTCTAGTGAAGTTTGATCATATAGTACTAGTGGTAGACTTTGCTTGACATGCCAGCAAGATTCTTTAGTTTTTGAACTGAATTAGATTCATGTTTATCAAATGGCAGGTTCTTGCTAACAGCTTGAGATATTTCTTGAGGCGTCCGACAACTGAGGAATCTAGTTTTTGAGTGGCGTTTCTTAGAAAATATGCGGCACATTGTGTTCTCATTCCCATGGGATTGTACAATGTTTCTATTCCTACCTTTGAACATGGCTTAACTGATAGCCCCAGTGCGTTACATCATTGAGTTAACATGAATAGGATTATAAATCCACTCTTATATAATAAATTTGAATACATATTCTTGAAAACACTTATAATATGTATCTTTATCCTTTTAGTTGGCTATGAAACCAAAAGGGGTTATTTTTGGACTTTTTCAGAATGGTTCTTACTTTTGTTTTGGTGAAGAAAAGAATTAAAGAACATTTTAGATTTCTAGCGAGGGCGAGGAATGACCGAAAATTTTCTAATTTATATTCCATTTTTTTCATATATACTTCTTATCTAACAAGTCATACTTAAATTTATTATTTGAATTTCGTTTTATATCATATTTTAATTCATTCGCTTAACCGTGATTGGATTTTATTAATATATATTTATAACGGGCATGCAATCTATTTTCCACGAGTCGAAAAAGTGGTCCAAGGCTTTTTACCAAATCTATGTAATATATCATATCATCCTAAAGAGATTTAAAGATATAATTAATTTTGAAAACTTAATTTCAAAATTCATTAAATTATTGCATTTCTAAAATAAATATAATAAAACATGGTTTGTTAACCACTTGTTTAGATGGTATCGTCGCCTCACGAGACAGTGAGGGAGGGACTAGTAGTAACACGGGCTACGATTGCCTCACAAAATATATAATTTTTTTATTTATAAGGATGTGGTTCTTACATAAAATGGTTTATTGATTTTCAATTTGAATTCCTAGTATTTTATTTACATATCCATAAATAGATAGGAAATTGATGTGGAAATAAACTTTCATCATGGTTTATAGCTAGTAATAAAAAAGCCGAACATAGATATTCAATATTTTTGAGAAAACTATTGGCAGTGACTGAAAAAAAACAAAGGTGGGGAAAAGATAGACGACAACATTAGATGGGTGGATTCTCTTATGTTTTGGTACAAACGGCTGGATTCTGGTCTAGAGTGTGTGTGTGTGTGTGTGGCTACTCCTGTAACGCACTTGCAAGTCAACAACTTATAACCACTAAAGGCTCAACTTTATGTCATTCATTTTTGTTTTTAGCTGTTTCCAGTTGGTGAAAGTATATTTTCCTTGTGCATGTAATGTGAGGTGTATTGCTGTGATAATTATTCTTTTATGAGATTGCTCAATTATGGTAAATCCTTAAAATTTTTAACCAGATTAGGATGCAGATTGAGTGGAGACATATATCATCCACAGTTGATGAAAAAGTTACTTAATTTACAGCGTACAGTGGCAGAAGAAAAGGCATGTTGGGAGAGTTAGAAATCTCGAGGATCAACAAATATTACTGGGGAAGAAGATCTAGAAGTGAACCAATCAGATTTTTGAGGGGTATCCTTGAGAAGATTCTTGATGCACCACATGTCCTCTGCCCATGAGAACTTACTCCAATGTGGGACTGCGTCTCTGACTGGGTCCCTTTGGCCCAGTTCAGCCACAATGGCCCCACAACCACCATCATCTCTTGCCATGTTATGCACAAATCCACATAAGGACTTCATTAGTTGTGCACCACACTTTCCGTCCATGTGTAGTCCATACACAAAATAAACCCCAAATGGCCTAAAAACATCAGGAAATGAAGGTAGCCTTAGCCATGGCATCCATTCATCCAACAACCTCGTACCTACGCAGCAGGCATGTGTCAATGGTGACACACCCTTCACTTGCAATTTGAACACATCTTTGGTGTTCCACACGCTTAGTATTGCGTAGCTTGGAGGGAGAATGCCCCTTTTTGGATCACACTTGGACAAGTACTTCTTGGGGATGGCCATGAAAGTCCCCAAATTCAGCTTGTTGGACAAGATTAAGTCTATGTCTTTAGGGTAAAATTCTGAATTGGCAAACATATGGTTATACATGGACCCTGCTAGGCGTGGTGGAAGGCGAAGCACAGCAACATTGGAGCTGATTGGTTTGTAGTGAGCATGCACAGGTTGCACTAGTATGGTTAGAGTCCTGAACTTTGAGTATCCACATTTTTTTGTGAACAAATTCACCGAAGGCTCATTGGTACAATCTGTTGCCATATATGCATACCTAGCCCCTTTTTGCTTGCACCACTCTTCTAAATGTTCAACTAGTTTTGTGCCGATGCCAAATCTCCTGCATATGCCAAGATAAGTCTTTTACTTACTGTTGCCTCATCAAGTATCAAAACATTTATGGCTCCTGCTTTTTGGTCTCGGTATATTTTTATCTAGAAATAGATATGTGATTAAAAGTAATGAAACCGAAATTAAAATGAAGGGCACAAGAGGTGGATCATGAGGAATATTTAAACTGAATGGAAAAGTAAGGTTTGTGTGGACCTTGGTGTCTAGATGAAGAACTTTGTACGAAATTCAGTGAGATGGTTGAAAATAAGAATAAGACATCATATCCAATTGCAGTTTGTTATTAAAGTAGTCTTAGTGGATACATCATACATGTGTCAATGACAGGCTAGCTTAACCATACTTTTTTCACCTTTCCATGATACGAGGAACATTGCCTTCTCTTTTTCTTAGAATCTAATCCTCCACCGCTTCTTTTTTTTTTTTTCTGATATTTCCGTTTCCCTTATTTTATAAGGTCCGAATGAGATTAGAACCAAGAAAGCACACAACAAGTTGAAGAGAAAGGGATGGAATCAGAAAGAAATAGGAGTTGCCAAAGGCAAACAGAACAGAAGCAAGACCAGCTTCTGAACTGACTTTTACTTTTGTAAGATGGAGGAAAACTGATTATGACTCGTCCTTTTGGTATTTATCTGAAACACATGCACATTAACATCTAAAGGTCCAATCCAAAGTACTCACTCTGAATTCCTTTTGATGACTTTAGACAATGTGCAGTGCAGAAACAGATGGAAGCAAGCAAACCAATAACATATGAGCAGAGTGGAATAGAACCTGTGTCGAGGGGAGACTCTGAGTCCCAAAATATAGGCCAGTTTTACACAAACCGAATTCCCTCTTGTAACTGTTTTTACACACCCCCTTATCACCCCAACAACTTCTCCTTCTTCACCATATTCTGCAACCTATTATTTAGAACAACACAACATTCATTAGTCTTGCTCAAAACCAGCAACAAATCTTAATCCTACTTTAGTTTTAAAGAAATGCAAGCTGATTATCATACGTTCCAAATTGCGAAACCAATATTATTTCAAACTCACATTTTTTGTGTAACACAATTAATGCTGAAGATAGTGCAAAACTGAAAACTAATGAGAATTTTTAGTCAGATTTGTAGCTAGTTACTTACCAGCATGACATGCAATTGAAAGTGACGGATACGGCATATGGGGTCTCCCATGAGGTCAGTGACAAGAGATGGCTTTCCACTCTGCCCAACTTCACAAAGCCTCTCAAGTTTCTCTACTGCTACCTTGTGTCTATCTTCGTCATATTCCTTTACCACAACCAATGGCTCCTCCACTGTCTCTGATGGTGATTTTGGATAAATTTCTGCAGCTATCTTTAGAGACATGGTATGGATTAGATGATAGGAAGAATCAATAGTAAACGAAAGAGAAAGAAGCTCAATAATTATCCCTTGCTTCTTCTCAGTTGTGCTAGCTTCTATCAGCTTTCGATGCTCATCTCCCTATCTGTATGTGCATATATACATCTTAGAAGCCCCAAGAATATGCATACGTGGCACCTCCCCAAAGTTTAGTGGACCTTGTTCTTTTGGCAAAAATGAAAAGAAAAGAGTGGAAAAAAAATCTAAACTTGTATTCTGTTATTTCCATTCCATAATATTACATCATGTTGATATCTTCTTTTGTTTGTAGTGCGTGATCCAATACATCATGTACATATCGAAATTAAATAAGCACTGGTGCGCCTGTACACTTTTTGTGATAGATGATAAACCTCATTATTTTCAATTGCTATGTTGAGGGTTGAAATTTCAAAATTTATTTAGCCTTCATGGGAGAGAAATAACAATGATAGGTGCACTACAAAGTCTTAGCATTCACAATGAAATATGCCCATATGAGGATAATGATTTCCTAATAATGATAACAACAATGACAGCAATAGCAGTTTAAGGTAAAGTTTATCTGCAGTCAAAGTAGTGCCCCAACTATTGAATAATTGCCCCTTCTTCCTAATACAAGAGTAGTTATCACTCATCCCTATCTAAAGAAAAAGGTTCCACCAAGATTTGAAATGAGAGAAATTTTATTTATTATTGGAATGATATGAAAGTGTGTGATTATAGAGCAGAGGTGTAATTTAACTGAGTACTAGTTTACCATAGGTGTCCTCTCTAGTGAAGTCTGTGTGTTGTTATTGTTATTGAATGAAAGAAGAGGTGGTGGTGGGTCATTTAGTATTGTTTAGAATCATGATGGCGAATGTTTTGCAAGATTCGCCCAGGTGTTTGAAAACTAGAAGCCTGAAGCATAGAGAAATAAAGGTCTTATCTTATTACTTTCCTTTCACCAATTATTGGGGGAGGTGGTATAGAAAGCATGCTTTCACCACGTTTTTGGTGAACATGTGGGATGCTACTGTGCGGCTTAAAAGTGGGGTGTTGATCACCATCATCATATGCACATATTGAGCTCTTTTTTCAATTGAAACCGTACCATTCCTTTGTTTGTTTATGTTTTAAAAGAATGGTGCCAAGTGTTGCAAAGAACGACTCTTTCAATGGCTACGCGCGTCCCTAGAAGCTTCATTCACCCCAAGCCCATATCTTATTAGCTGATGTGTCTTGTTTCTAAATTGGGTTGAAGTTTGCTCATTCATGTCTGCTACACTGTGGTCCAATTGTACTACAACTTACCTGTTAAGGAATAGAAAATTTAATCTAAAATTTTAGACACTTTGAGTCCTATCACTGGAACCACTTGCTCCAAATGATACATGCAAATGGTACAAAAGCAAAAAAGAACGCTCTCAACATCAAAAACAGAGAGGTCTGAATACAGAAGAAAGCTATGCATATACCAAGGTTCTGATTGGACTTGCATGATCAATGCACTATCACCAAAATGAGAAGCTGGTCAAGATAGAGCTGCAAACTCTGATTTGCCATATTAATAATCTGTCCAAACCATAGACTTTGACATGAGGAAGTTGTGTTCGCTGTCCTTATTCCATCAAAATCATCAATCATCAATGTTTGTAACTTTGGTAATTCATTATCATGGGTATGGTAAATAGTCTCTTTTCTCTGTCCAACTTTTCAGACCATTATGTTTTATTCTTCTTCACTTTTTATCACTGTTACTTTGCTTCAATTTTCTCTTCAAACCAATCTACTCAAAGGTGAACATCAAAGCCTTGATCCCAAAATACACACGTATGTTGAAGTTTTAAGGCCATCTTTGCAGGATTTTGATGCCTACAAAACATGGAAAAACTGATGTGACGGCATCAATGTTGTGCCTGCCATATCTCTGGTGCTAATTTTTCCGGAAAATATGTTTCCAACAAGAGTCTCACTTCTGTCAAAAGAAAAACAAACAAGAGTCTCAATCGAATAAATTTTATTCATATTCTTTTCATAAAATGATTTCAGTAAAGTGGTGAAAATGATCGAATTTGTATCATCACGCCAAGTTTACTTTTTTATCAGATTGAAAGCAAGCCATGAAAATAAAACCAACGAATAAACAGTAATTAAAATATAGCGATAATTAAAATAAAAATATGATTTTTAACAATATATCACTTTTAATTAAAGTTATAAATAATGACACATACAAAACCAAAAAAGTGATTTTTATTTTTTTTGTCAATTTGAGTGTGTAAATGTTTTTTACAAGTACATCCACTTGTATTATATCATCCAAATTAGTTGATTATAAGCAAATAATAATAATAATTATTATAATTCATGCTAATTGATAAATTTAGTTAACTATTTAATTTTACTAATCATATTTAAAAGATGTTTTTTTCTAAACTGTCTTTTATTATATATATAAAAAAAACTAAACAAGTATAAACTTTGTAACGGTTAAGGAAACAATATGAAAGTACGAAATTTAGAGGTACTAAAATAATTTTTTATGCAAAAACCTTAAAAAAAAATTGCGTAATTTGTAGCTCCTATGTTACTACGAGATACGAATCTATTTTAGTTGAAAAAATAATTGCAGGGCTTTAGTTTCATCTGTCTCTTTCACCATGCATTCTTCTTTAATTATCTTCTTCTACCAATATTTTGTTAACCAAAAATTGATGCAGAAATCTTGATCCGTTGAAACTGATTTCACAATTAATCACAAGACAATACGTATAATTGATTACAACAGCAAAAGAAAATGATATTCGATTCTGATTTCTGAGATCAACGAGTTGCAGAATTATATTGACAATATTCTCGTGTTCGTTCTTTGAGTAAATTAATGAGAAACAGAAATTAATTAACATTAATAATGCCTAAGTGGCCGCGACTGCATGGGGAATTTATGCAAATTCCCTTCAAAAAACTAACTTTACATTATTAAATTCCATGGTTTATGTGTTAATTAGTTTCTTAAACTTTTTCAATCCACGAAACTTTTACTCTTCAATGTATGGTGGAGACTCGAAATTAATACTTTCAAATACAAATTCTTTTTAAGAAGTTGACATGTATGAAGAAATAGTTTTTCATAGTATGTAGCATATAATTAATCAAACTCTTAACCTCATATATTCAAAGGGTATACTTTTTTTCTTCAAAGTACAATTTCTCACTACTAAGCAAGTCAAAATCTTGAATAAAAAAGCAAGATCAAATCTACAAGACAAAGAAAATATATGGGAGGGTAGATGATTATAGGCTAATTAAGCATAGGGGTGTAGATGAGTTAAATAGACTATGATCATGAGTGAATCAAATCTTGCATAACAAAACAAAAGAGTTACAAGAGGTGCGCATGTTCAAAGAATATGGCACTACAAAAAGCAACATTCCAAATTAGAGATAGGTATATATGCATCTAGTTTGGATGATCACATTAATTAGTAAAACACATGAAATTATTTACATTGTGTTTAAACAATGGTTAGTTTCCTTTGGCATCATCACATGAACAAGGTGGCCCATCACCTAAAAAGTAGGAAAAAATATAAAATAAAAAAACAAATAAGGCTTATCCCTAATCATTATACTAACCATACAAATAAAAATATTCCCAAATATTCCCCCATTAGTCCAAAAGCAAGTTGGGTAAATTTGTGTAGGGATGCATACCGACAGTACTAACCCTATTAAAAATGTTGATTAAAGCAAACAGCTTAAGCTATTAGAAATCTATGTGAATGTGGTCTCAAATCATTGGTCCAAATGCATATAACAATTAAGAATCTCACACTGTTTGCATATGGATTAACTATTCTGCAAAATGGTCTGCATTTTCATTAAAAACTTGCTTAAGAAATGGCTTGTTATTATCATGACTAGCTTATGGAGCCTTTTAATCAGATTTATCTGGTTTTTGTTGGGGACAAATATATTTTTTTATACTCGTTCAAACACATGATTGAAGTCAAATAGTACTAGCTATCACAAGGAAGCAGCTTAAATAGGAATTGTCTTTTATTAGCTGGTTGTGGATTGTAAATGCAAGAGAAGATAAGACCCACTTCAAGTATACAGTTTTTAATTTCCACCTTCATGCTAATCTCAGATTTTTCTGTCATAAATTTGAAAATATAGGGCAGTTCAGTTTTAGTCATAAAACTTTGAATATAATCCATGCATGTATATATATATATATATATATATGTGTGTGTGCGCTTAGGTTAGACTTCTGAAAAGATGCATGAAAGTTTGAAATATGCATATTTATATGTATATTTTTAGTCTTACTTGAATTAAAGTGACCCATCTTTATGGCTTCTTTCCAGACTGAATAATATGAGTGGTTGCAAATCTGCATTAATCATAAACACAAAAATGGTTGCCGAAAGCCATTGATGCCAACCTAGATCACCTCACCTCTCGAAAGCTACGTTCCAAAATAAAAATAATTATCTATTTCTTTGATTTAGTCACATTACTAAGACACGCATGAATTATCAATGAAAGGTTCCGTTTATCACTTTTTTTTCTTGCCGCGCATGGCATCACAATATAGCAATGGCAAAGTGGTCCATGACCTAAAAAATAATCAATATACAGACCAGTGCTAAATCATTACTCTAACCATAGAGAGATCAATGAGAATATATAACACAAACAAAGCTCTCATATATGTCATGCCCTAGCGTGCTATATTTATCAGAGTCATTTCATCAAACATTTGGTGTCTTTTTGCAAGAGAAGGCATGCATTTTTACCCATAATATCCCTTCTTTTTCTTTTCCCAAAATCAGATAATAACACCATCTTCATGGATGGTCAATGCCGTGCTTTAACAAACGCATGTACAAACCAAATTATAATTTTATATTATATAATCAATTTGATCTTTTAATAGTAATTTCATCTTTTTAATTTGTATAAAATACATTATATATCACATTATTATTAACTAC